AATTTCAAAAATGCATTATTAGTTTCCCAACAAATGATACTTCGAATCACGCAAATATTAAGCCATCTCAAACTTTACCAATTACACTCAACCATCTCAAATCATCTCATATCTCTAATCTAACACAAATTTCTAAAATGAATAATTAGTGTCCCAAAAAACGATACTTTGAATCACGCAAATATTAAGTTACCTCAACCAATTACACTCAAACCATGTCAAACCATCTCAAATTCTGTTATAATCTAACCCACATTTCTAAAATGGATAATTAGTATCCCAACAAATGATACTTCGAATCACGCAAATATTAAGGCACTTCAAACCTTACCAATAACACAAAAACCCATCTCAAATCATCTCAAATCATCTCAAATTTCTAATCTAACCCAAATTTCTAAAATGGATAATTAGTGCCATAACAAACTATACTTTGAACCATACAAATATTAAGCCACCTAAAATCTTACCAATTACACTCAAACCATCTCAAATCATCTCAAATTCTGTTCTAATCTAACACAAATTTCTAAAATGAATAATTAGTGTCCCAAAAAACGATACTTTGAATCACGCAAATATTAAGTCACCTCAACCAATTACACTCAAACCATCTCAAACCATCTCAAATTCTGTTATAATCTAACTCAAATTTCTAAAATGGATAATTAGTGTCCCAACAAACGATATAATCGAATCACGCAAATATTGAGCCACCACGAACCTTACCAATTACACATAACCATCTCAAATCATCTCAAATTTCTAATCTAACCCAAACTTCTAAAATGGATAATTAGTGTCCCAACAAACGATACTTCGAACCGTGCAAATATTAATCCACCTCAACCATTTACACTCAAACCATCTCAAACCGTTTCAAATTCTGTCCTAATCTAACCTAAATTTCTAAAATGAATAATTAATGCGCCAACAAACGATACTTCGAATCACGCAAATATTGAGCCACCTCGAACCTTACCAATTACACCGAAATCATCTCAAACCATTTCAAATTCTGTTATAATCTAACCCTTCTGGTACTGTGGATGTTTATAAGCAAATTAAGTTCGATATTACGAATTAAAATTCATAAAACGCGAACGCAGCATAAACATTGAAAATTAGCGAAGAAGAAACGAAACTGAAACGATTCGTTCCCTCCCCTCGTTATGCGCACTCGTTACTGCCAATAGAATAAAACACAACGATTAATACTGTCTCTAGCTTAGCGATGTACACGATAATTTCGATTTCGTAAACGACGAAAAACTGCGTTCTCGCGACAATCGGTCGTGACTCGAACGTAAAGCTAGATTGGAGTCATCGATTTATACATTTAGAGAAACTTCGTTCGACGAAGTCGAGGAACGAGCCGAATCTTGCTCGCGACTTTACGCAATTGTTAAATGAATCGTCTCTGGTCGCGAGCAAGATTTACATTTACGATCTTTTTGCTTTGAAAACTTGTGAAATTGTTTGCGCGTGTCTCGCGTTGTCCCTCAGGTTTTGATAGCGAAACGGCTCGAGAGGCGACGTACCGTTCAGTGATTTCCAAAACGAAAGTAAAGTACTAAAAAGTTTGAAATTAGAGAAATTAGAGTCCTCTGCTAGTTTCTCGTTGCATCTGAAATTGTACTGGCGGGCGCAATGAAAAATGTGTAGAGGAGCATTCGAGATTGAAAAAGGAAAGATAAAATATCAGGGTGTACGGTACGAACGCACTACGGATGCTTCTCGAGTATCCGAAAGAAATATTTCGTCGAGCGATATCGTAAATCTGGTCGAGATTCGTGCCGTGAGACTCGAGCCATCGCGACGATACGCGCAATAAACACGCTAGATTAAGCATAGACGGGCGAAAGTGGCGCCTCGATACAATTTTTTATCGAACGAAAAGAGAAAAAGATATTGACTTTGTTTGACGATAACGTTCGGGGTGAATGGTGGATGATAACCATACTTCGTCCCTCCTCACCCTGCGCTGTGTATGTGCAAACGGTACCCTTAGGGCAGGGGAGGAAAAGATGACACGATCGAAGCACACACGAACGCGATCCGATGGTACTACTATTCTAGAAATGGATCCACGCTTGAAAGCTACGAACTCTTATAAATAACTGAGTGTTTTACTATTGGATTATAAATATTACGGCGATACTTAATGTACATGATTTTTCATTACTATATTATAGATGTTACTTAATAATATATTTACAAATAATTAAGCGGAAGCGGTGATTTTCATTAATTATCCCTCTACCCCGAGTACTTCGTTCGTCTTCGCTTCTATAAGGTTCGCGGCTACTTCCACCCAGATGGAGAATCAATATGGCCGCCGTTACTAATTTTATTTTATTTCATCCGTTGTGCGTTACGGTCCATTACTGGAAGTCGATTTCCAGATAGTACAAATTTTTCATTATTACCGTATATACAGAATGATTCTCCAGATTTTATCACTTAAATTTACGTAATCATTATTACGATTAACGATCAATGTTTCGAGCAAAGCCAAATGGTTTCAAGACAGGCACATTCTGATGTTATTAGTTGTTTCACAGGTGGATACGTAGAGAACTTATAAAAGTTACTAGTATTGTTAAGAATAGGATTATATATTTTTTTTCATTACACCAGTGAGTAAACCGTTTTGGAGATATTTTAATTTTAATATTGTTACAAAATCACGATTCTCTCCGTAAAATTTTAACGATTCTATTTAAATAAAAGACTCAATCTGGTAGCCATTTAGATCACGAAATTAATGATTCTTTTATATTGTGTAATAAATCTGGAGAAGTGTTGTTACATGTTGTTGAATGGACATTCACGAATAACGTAATCGCGATGCGTGTGTGCTCGCGTGTGAGTGATTTTTCAGGGCAAAATGGTCTTTTCGAAGCGGTATTCACCTTATGTTTAAAAATTTCGTCAGGCAGATTTCGATATGCCCTTTTGGATCTTCACAAGACAGTTTTAATGTCGTTCAACGTAACGTATTTCCATTCCGATTCTCTGGGACGAAGACAAACCCAGCTAGAGAACGGTTTTTGCTATTAACATCATGTTGGAGGCTTTGTTTCGTTTATTTGTGTCACTGGAAATTTTAACTTCGACTAACGCACAGCCCTTGTGCGACGTAGGGTACAGTTATTGTCTAATGTTACGTTCATGGTTTCCATTCTATTCGGAAGCTTGGCTCGATCGGATATCGGCGACACACATTTCTGCTTGGGAGTTATCCCGGAAATTTTCCTCTCGGCTGGCGAGTTTCTTTTCAGTTTTAATATAGTCCACTCAGTTTGATCGTGGTCTATCATTTTAACTTCGTGCCCCTCAGGCACCATAAGCTCCGGGGGAAAAGGCGCATTTCGCCTAACCCAGAACTAACCCAGCCTCTGCTGGTCTCAGCTGACCACTGCTGGTCTCTACATGCCTCTACTGCTGGCTAACTTGAGTTAACAGGTAATGTCATAGAACTGTTTTACCCAGTTATACCCCTTTTTACCTGAAGTATAAGGTAAAAAGAGGTACAAGGTACGACTACATGTACTTTTGAATTTTCCTACAGGCCTCTGCTAGCCTCTGCTGACCGTTGCTGACCACTCCAGATACTTCTGACAACGTATAACGATTACTACTGGATACTGCCAGCATCTCCTGGCCTCAGCTGGCCTCTGCCAGAATCTCCTGAAGTCAGCTGCCCTCCACTGGCCACTGCTGGCCACTGCTAGCCACTGCTGACCACTGCTGATACCTCTGACATGATATATGTATATGTAATAACGTTTGTGTAATATAAATCTACGGCAATAAATGATACAATTTCAAAGAACTCTATGTGTTCTCGTCATTTTTTACCATTCTTTTCCTCTCCTGATCATTTCCTTAGTAATAAGTAGACTGCGGATGTTTATGCATTTATGGGAAATTTTAATTTTCAAAAAACTACAGAATTCAGTTAATATGCAACAATATAAGAAATACTTAAAGTAAGGTACGAATTATTATATCTGGGGGTTGATACAACCCTCTACAAAGCTCCAATTTCATTAATTTTATTATAAAAATATAACAGTTTCGAGAAAAAAAAATCAAGTAGAAATCGCGATTGTAAAAGAAATACAATAAACATTCCAAGCTACTGTTTTTCTTTTGATGCTATGCGAAATACACACGAGGTATACGAATAGACCGGCCACCTTATGGACTTTGATGATCCAATCAATCTGAATGCCATACCGAGTTATTTTTTAAATAAATCAGGATTTCCGGTGTAGTTGTCAATGGGGTACATCCTTACGTATTTTAATAATCTTAATCGATTGATTAAAAAATAATACAATTTCTGTAATTTCATTTTCTGTCTCACTTCCTCTTGTGTTAATTTCTAAATCTGTTGGTAACGTTGCGAGTGACACGGAAATGGTAATGGGCGTCAAGAGCCCCAGAAAAATGGGCCGAAAAAATACATTGGATGTAAGATCTACTCGTATAACTGGTCTGTGGTACTACGTTTATTAAATATACCAACGTAGTTAATCTCGAGTTAATGTATATCACGCTTAACGTGATGCGAATCAATGTTCATGCAGAAAGAGAAGTAGCAATTACAAATTCAGTGTTGGAAAATAGAAATTGGCGGTGTCTTGTAATGACAGGAATAGAAACTATTCCTTAGCAAACATTTTACCGTTGCTGGCGTGGCTTTTATAAATAAATTAAATTAATGAGTAGAAAAATTTTATATATGTAGCAATTGTCACTTGTTAAATTTGAAATCTTCTAAATGCGATCTTAAATCGTTGATGACCACCGTTGAAAGTTATTATCTTCGAATGAAATTGTTTTCCAATTTATTCGAATGGATGAATTATCAAAAAAGTCCCGTTCGCATCATTTTAAATGATGCTTAAAATTAAGATTGCGCAGAGCGCCACACAGTGCGAAGCACATAAAATATCGCCGATGTACTTCCGGTTCGTTTTTCTGACAAGTGGGTGATGGCTGCCTGACATTTCACAATTGTTAATTTCGTTAGACTGTGGTCTAACGGTCACGTTATTCGTTCCCATAAATGAAAGGATAATATTCACATCGTTTGTTCGTATGAACGAGACAACGTCAGAGAGCGTTTTTGCAATCCGGCAGATATATGCACGAAAGGTGAGATCGTCGAATAATATCATTATCAGGCGTGCCACCGGCTGGAGGGGTTAGAATCGTCCAGATTCCGGCATGGTTATCACCGAAATTCTGTTGATATTATCATTTTTTAGGACACGCAGCAACTTTCGGCAAAATGATCAAAACAGGAGAGGATAACCTAAAACATCCCCACTATCAGCAAACAGTGTAAGCTTTTAATACAACTTCTACCAGCTACTAATTTTCAATTTTTCTGTATTTCTATGCATTGGTTCCGATCGTAGCGTTCATTGTTTCAAGCCTCTCTCCTATTCATCTGACAATATAAACAAATGAAAAATAAGACTTAATCAAATTATCTTGGATGCTTAGATTTTTATTTATATTGATTTAAATATTGCTTTATTACCTACAGTGGATAACAACTTATTGGCACACTGACTTTTCTTTAATGATATTTGTATATTAAAGTGGTATATAAATTTGTTCTGGGATCCTGTATCATAGAAAAGTAATATAGTCCTTCCAAACTTAAAATTATATAGCTGAAGGAAATAGAAAAACAAAATTGAAAATTTTTTAGCTAAAAAAGTATTGGCACACTTGTGATTCTAATACTAAGTGGTCTGGTACATACTTTTCTATTGTTGTAAGGTCGTGGATGCAAACAGACTGGTTCTATAATTCATTTCTATTGATTTATTCACATTTGAATTATGAATTTCAGAAAAAATGATAGAACATTACATTTAAATTCTTTAATGAAGAGAAATGTTCTGGGAAAGGTACGAAGAGCTCTTAAGTAATACTCCAGAAACTACAAAGATACTAGTAGAATCTGTGTTAAATAAATTAGAAGCTATAATTAATGCTAAAAACCTACGCACGATGTATTAAAAACACATTTTGTATTTTACAATTCAATGTTGATTTGATAATTAAAGTGTGCCAATAGTTTTCTAAAGTAAAATTTAACTTCAGACGATATTCCTTTCGTTTCTTCCCACAACATTATTTCGAAAAAGTATATTCTATCTATACAAAAAAATTGTAATTACTATAAAATATATAAATTTTCTATTTAGAGAATTTAGTGGCCAGGAGGACCAACATTCGGTCGGATTATACAGTGCCAACGTCACCGTTATTCCTTCACCCGGGGGGCACAATCATGGGAGTTCCAAGGTGACACTAAAAAACATCGTTGATTTTACGTGGGAACACAATTTTTATTCCGGCCAATTATTGGCGGTTCATATGTCCGGAAAATATTTAGCTTATGGAATAAAAGGTAACCCAGATTTAAATAAAAGTGTACACTTTCGCATTTTCCAAATTTATAACATTCAAATTATTTAGTTAGTAATGGAGGAGGTATGGTCAGAGTTGTATACAAAGAATTAGAGCAAAGAACACTGTTAAGAGGAATGCGTGCCGCGATACAGGATCTGGCTTTTGCGCACGTTGCAAATGCGATTTTAGCATGCGTCGACTACTTGGGAAATCTTTTTATACATACCATTGAATCGACACCGTCTGAACTGCAATGTAGTTTATTGCTACAAGTAATTGCGGAGGACATATCTGCCACCAGTCACCGTGTAATATGGTGCCCGTATATCCCGGAGGATGTACCGTCCGACGGAGACGAAGTTTCGAAACTTTTAGTTTTAACTCGTGGTTCGAAAGCAGAGTTGTGGTCAGTTAATACCATTACATCAAGATTCAGATCAATAGAGGTGAATGTGTACCTTACTTACAGATTATAAAATCCATACAAAATGAACAAACTATCCAACTGTTTGACTGAATGATAGGCAACTGATCCAGCTGCAAAGGAAAATGGAGGCATGTTGGAAATTGATCAACATTCTGATACAATCGTTGAAGCAACTTTTAGTCCCGATGGCACGGCTTTGGCTACAGCAAGCTTTGACGGAGAAGTGAAATTCTTCCAAGTTTACTTGCATGGTAATTCTCATGGCAATCAAGCTCAGCCGCGCTGTTTACATCAATGGAGGCCGCACGGAGGACGACCTATCTCGTGTTTATTCTTCTTAGATGACCATAAAACGTACCATCCCGAGTAAGCGATATGGAAGAAAATGTTAGTAAAATCGAATCAAAGTAATCGCTTCTAAAACTGGTTTTTTGTTATAGTGTACAATTTTGGAGATTTGCCATAACTGGATGTAACAATAATACGGAATTAAAAGTCTGGTCGTGCGAATTGTGGACTTGTTTGCAAACCATTAAATTTGCGCCAACACCTTCTACCAGCAAACTACCAATATTAAAAGCAGGTTTAGATCTTAGTGCTGGGTATCTTTTGTTATCAGATATATACGATAAAGTTTTGTATATATTAAGTCTTACAAAAGATAGCGGAGAAGCGTTAGCATCCGTAACCACAATATCAGAGTTCCTCCTGCCATATCCGATACTAAGCTTTGGAATCGTTGACGCTGGTCTGTGCAAAGTACGTTCTACCGGCGAATCATTAGAAGACTTGTGCCCTTACGAAGAAGAAACCGAAGAACAAGTTTTAATTATCCGGATGTATTTAGTACAACCAAAGTCTCTGCAAGAGTGTCATATTGCTTTTAAACCTGCCTCGCGAGTGATTGGCAACAGTCTCAGGGATTCATTGACTCGCGATTCATTGGACTATAGCGAAGACTTACAAAATATGGAGACCGTTAATCAGAATGGAATCTCTGAAGAAAATTGCGAAGAGGAACATTCGTTGTCCGCCAAGATTGACGCAGCAACGAACCATAACACCGGATTAAATTTAATGACACCGGATGCTTTCAGTTCACCCGCCAAGAAAGAAAATAGCGAACTCGATTCTCCTCCCGGTAGTCCAGAATTGGATAAAGTGCTATCTGCTAGTCCCTTCCTTGCACAAACTGTACAAGCTCTAAATGCAACAGATCCGCCATTGGTTGTTAGCGAACTGGAAGAACAAGCACCTGCTAGCAGTGGTAGTAGTCCATCCAGGGAAGTCAGAGAAATCATGTCTCTCACAAAACCGGATGAAGAACCTGAAACTGAGAATAAGCCAGAAGCTACTAACGCTGTCGGTGAAGATTGGCCTAATATTCCGATGGGTTTATTAAAAGACGTTAGCAGACACGCGATGCAAGAAGCTGAAGGATACACGAGCGAAGATGAAAAGAAAAAGAAATTAAAAGACGAGACAAAATCGACGACGCACACCACGGGAGATACAGAAAGTAGTTGGCAAACGGCGAACGAGTTAAAAACACTCGAATTAATAAATAAAGTAGAATCGGTTTTGGAAATAATTCAAGACCAACGAGAAGAAATAAGAGAAGTACTGAGAGAAGAATTATCGCAAGTAGACTTTGCTATATCGAGATATTTCGAAGAGCAAAACGCAATATTAGATCAAACATTATACGAAGAAATGTCGCGGCAATATGTATTCCGCAACAATCTCGGAACAACGATCAAAGAACAAATCGAAACGGTACTGCCGGGCCTCGTCAAAGACACAATAGAGCCGCTGAAGCAGCAACTTAATTTAGACTCTACCCGAATGGACGAACTTTTAAAAGAAAATTTAACAGAACTGATCAATAGCACTCACGTAAAAGATACGCTCGCATTGGCAGCGGCAAATGGAGTGAAACCGGCATTAGATGTGGCATTTAAAGAAGCCTTCACGAACGTTCTTTTACCGGGAATGGAGCAAGCGTGTCAAACAATGTTCAGACAAGTACAAGATGCCTTTGTTAAGGGTACTCACGAATGTAAGGAATCAGTATTATAGATACGCGTTATATAAAACTATAAAGCGTATTATAAAATTTCCAACTTTTACAGATCTTCAAAATGTAGATGTAATTACAAGCAAGCAATACCAACAACGAAACGAACAACAAAGCGAAGCGTTGTCTGCGCTAATCTGCGAGGAATTACAAACCGAATTGAACAGATGTTTAACTGCTCTGCAGGAAGAAACGATACGTACAATTCACGATTCCGTCAGAGATAATTTAAACCAACAACTTACTGAGATTACGAATGCGCGGTAAGTGAATATGTGTAAAATTGTCACCAAATTTTTTTTCAAGGGATATATATATAATCGGTATAACTTACAGTTCGCGAGCAACTACTCCTGCTATACCAGTACCTGGAGTTGCCGATGTTCAAGCACGGGTTATGTCTCTTCTTCAAAGAGGGCATTTAAACGCTGCATTTCAGCAAGCTCTAAGTGCAAGTGATTTAGGTTTGGTAGTATTAGTTTGTGAAAAGACAGAACCCGCAAGAGTATTTTCCCGCGCTATGGGACCCCAGGGCCAAAGTACAAGATGTATTTTACCACAACCCGTAATTCTTTCACTTGTACAACAGTTATCTGCAGACTTAGAACATCGTACAGACCTGAAACATAGGTAATAAAACGTTATTTTATTTTTAAAAAAATATATATATATATATTTAACCATATTTCTTGAGTACTTGCAATTGTTCAACAGGTGGCTCGAGGAGGCAATATTAAACTTGGATCCTAATGATCCCGTGACGCGAGAGCATATGGGTACAGTGTTAACTACCTTACAAAATCAATTGGCTGCGTTTGTAGCAACTAATTCAAATAGCATTTCTACCCGACGTATGAGAATGTTAGCTATGGCTGCGCGCGCACTTCTAAATCAACATCCTTAATGTCAAATACGTCTGAAGTAGAAAGGACTCCTTGATAAAATAACTTCAGGTTTTATACGTTTCGTTTAAAAAATACTTTAATCCGAGAAAAACATCCGCACTTGTCGTATTTAAGACTGGCAGACGTTTACATAGTTTGTGAAAGAAATATTATATGAATTTATTATCGGCAGTTTTATCCAATTTATCAAAACCTATTCCCGTAATTTGATTCTTTACAAAGTACATACGTTTATGAGATATTCAAGAATTTAACAGAAAATTATTTTCTTAACGTTAAACAAATATTATATAAATGCATTACGCAGTATAATTAAAAAAACGTGATACAAATGAAATTAAGTAGTTAAAATGTGAGCAATTTAATTAATATAAATTATTAATTATTTACATTAGTCACTGACATTGTACTGATGATTAATATTGACGAGTTTATTAATAATAATTGATAAGATACATAAGAAACGTTTTCTTTTTAATTATTTTCTTCTGTTGTTCGATATAATTTTTTTATTAAGTTAAATCTAATTAACGCTTCCTAGTAGTAAAAGAAATTTTAATAATAGTATTTTTATGATTAAATTCAACAAAATAGTTGCTCCCCAATTCTCCTAAACGGTGACTTTATATGAAATAATCTATTCATGCATTTCATGACATCGTATAATACGTACTAAACCTATTATATTTACGAAAACGGAATAATTATATTTTAATTAGTTTTTAAGTTGAAAGCTTTAATGACTTTCTGAAGGGAAATTCCTCGCGTAAATTTTGTTTTATTACTATGTTTTCAATTATTCCCATTCGACATTATTTTATTTTGCCTCCATCTCGAACATATATTTCATCTTTTTTGATGTGCTACTAAATATAATGTAATGGAACAAGATATTCTCTATTTCTTACTATGAAAAAAATAAAAACTTCAAAATTAACAAGTTGTACGTCAGATTTTATAATGTATATGTTATAGTACGTCAGAAATTATTTTTTATGTACCTCGTTTATTGATTATGTAGTTTGGCACATGAACATATTTGAAAGAAACTTGTTCCTTCTTTAAGTATTGTTTTCTGCCATATAACACATACATTTGCAGTTCTTCCATTGTATGTAATAATCCTTAAAAAGGGGACTGTAAATAGTATGCAGTTAACATGTATTCGTAGATTCCCTTCAAATTTTTTTGTTACCTGCACATGAAAGTTCCTATTTCCAGATTTCCGTCGTGTTCATTGTATCATTAGGTATTACAGTAGAAATGTAACATTTAAGTAATGTACATCTTTCTTAAAACTGGTGATTCTATTTACTTATTTTTCTTATTCTAGTTATATATAATTCTTAATACTATTTTCATAATACAAAGAAATATGAACACTACGGTATTACAAAATATAACAGATCAAATAATTAGATTACCCATTAAAATCGTACATTTAAAAGTATTTTGCACTATTGTAGAAAATTCTAAAAATAATTTTACATTGTTAAATTTCATTTAAGATTAACAATTTCATCATTAACATTAGTACCTTTCCTATATTCGTAAATAAATTCATCTTGTATTAGTAATAATATATATATCACAATATCATTCTCTTACTTTAATTTTATAAACTGAGAAAAGACTATTGTATTATGAATAAAAATGAAATTTATTTACATAAATTTTGATATTTGGTCCATGTATAAATTTCTCTTTATAACCACAGTTTTTAACGTTAATTCTTTTCTGTGCATTTATTTTTAATTTCAGCTACTAATACTTCTTTAACGTGTGCCGCTATTTTTATTTTCTTTCTTTTTTTAACTCCTCCAGATCTTTTCCCCGCAATATTATTCGAGATTTCTGTTTGTGGTTTCTTCTTTTTCTTCAAGCAACTAAGTGGGTTTGGACCACCTTTTTTCTGTTTCTTTTTTAGTTTCAATTTCGAATCTTCTACAAGACCTGCTGCTTCTTTTAGCGTTTTAATTTTTTTTATATCCCATGTACTCATTCCTAATCCTTTGCGAATATTTTCAGCATATTCACGACTTGCTTGCGAAGGGGCTTCCAAAGTTGGTGCTTTACCATGTAGATATATTATGGGAACACCTGGAATTTTTCTCAGAATATCTTGTAGCTCTCTGTCCTGTGTAGCTACAATATATCTGCAATACGTATCAGATATGTACATAATGTCTTTATTTTTTTTCCATATTAAAAGTTATTTAGTTTCTTATTATATACCTAGATGAATTATTTTTCCCAACCATTGACCATAAACATTTTGTACCAGTTATCGAATGTTTCTCATGCCCACATTTGTGTATAGGATATTGTTTAACTATTTGCATAGCTCCACTGACTGCCTTCGAGAATGAACCAAGCTTCTCCGTCTCCGAAATTATGCATGGTGTAGTCAATAATTTCACCTCTGATTGAAAATACTTTGATAACTGTTCTTGTATATTGAATTTATTCTAAAAAATAAGATAAGAAAATATATATTAAAACAAATGAATTCAAACGGTTTTGCATATATTCAATTAATTATATTTATACAAACCTCCAAAGCAGCAAATGTAAATGTACCATCGACAAGAATTTGGAATGGCAATCTAAATTTGAAGTTGTTAATGAAAAAACCTAAATGTTTTCTTGCTTTCTTCTGACGCGCTGTTTTCATATTTTCTTTCTTTTTATTATGTTTTTAAACGAACTCGAAAATGCGTCTTAAAAAGTCTTATTACAATATATATTTAACCCCAAAAATATTCAGTTATGAGTTATGAAATGAACTAATATAAGACGTATTGTAAATGAAAATAACAAATAATTTTAAATCTAAAAGTTATTGAAATACAAATGTAATTTTTGTAAATCCCCTTTACTGTGTTTATTTTCTTATCTACCCACGAAAGAAATTAGTATTAATATTTTATCAAATTTTACAATTATATTGTTATTATTCTTTCATACATTACATATGTATGTACATAGCTTTTAATATGTAAACATTTATGTAGGAAATTAACCTACTAGTAACATTGATAATCGGTAAACTGAAAGAGTAATGCTCTCGAATTGTTAGAAGCGGTCTATTGCATTTCGCCATCAAATACTAACTGGTATAGTGTGTTAATACTAGTTCAGAAATAAGAATTTTATTGTTATTTCTATTTGTAAAAAAATAACAGCAAAATGTGAGTATTTAAAGAACATTTTCTTTAATATATATTTATTTCCTCGCTTAAATAGAAGAATATAACCTCAATTGTTTGTTCCTGTTTTAAGTTTTTACGTAAATTTTAATATGGATAGTGAAATTATTTTCTAACGTTCTATTTACATTTATTTAACTAATATCTTTTATTACAGGTCTTCTTTAACTAAACCGAAGTCTGAAATGACTCCTGAAGAACTAGCAAAACGAGAGGAAGAAGAATTTAACACTGGACCACTTTCTGTATTGACTCAGTCGGTCAAAAACAATACCCAAGTATTAATCAATTGCAGAAACAACAAAAAATTGTTGGGAAGAGTAAAAGCATTTGATAGACACTGCAATATGGTATTAGAAAATGTGAAAGAGATGTGGACCGAACTTCCACGTACAGGGAAAGGAAAAAAGAAGGTAAAATTGTTACAGTCTATAGATTTAATCAAACCTGAATGCTCTATTTTTGTTTAGGCGAAACCAGTGAATAAAGATAGATTCATTACAAAGATGTTCTTACGAGGAGATTCTGTTATTCTGGTTCTAAGAAATCCATTGGCTACTGCATCAGGAAAATAATTTTCAAATAAATTTACTACTTTATAATTTATGATACTTAAAATAAACTTTTTAATATGAATTTATGTGTCTATAATTTATTTATACGTTAACAATTGCATATAACCTGGTAAAACACGTACTCTTATTATTTTAAATATTAAATTAAAAAAAGTATATTAAGTAATACATGAAATTTATTTGTATTCAAACGTACATAAAATTACCAATCTTTTTCGGCAATTACAGTAAGATGTTTATCGATCTCCTCTTCAGTTAAACTCCTGAAATAACAAAATGCATGCAATATTTATTCATGAAATGTTCATGTACGAAAATTGTGTTTTTTAATATATTTACCGAAATTTGGGATTGTCTTTTGATACCACACCAACTTCTATTTCTGTTGGCTTAAAATCGACAGATAAAACGGTAGATAAACACGTAATAGCTAACTGTATTGTTTTATCATAATCATAATTTTGCTTCTTCTTCAATTTCTTCTCAAGATAAGAATTAGCCTCGGTTTGTCTGGCACCGACAGCAATAGCCTTGTAACCGCAGAAATATCCTGCAGGATCAGTTTTATAAATACACGGGCCCTTCTCTTTATCGTATGAAATAAGAATCATAGAGCATCCGAGCGGACGCATTTCTGCATTCTGTGTATACACTTGACTGATATCTGCGATACGACGACACAATGTGTCCACAGGAATTTCGTAATCGTTCTTATACTTAAAATGAGCTGCCTCGTATCGTGCACGGTGCATTTGCGACCAGCTGTCGGCTGAAATTAAGATCATATAATTATATATGATTTCTATTAAACTTTATATAATATTGTACTCACCTATCATGCCTGTCATAACGCAACCGATATGCTCTGTAAGTTGAAAAATATGAGTAACGCTGGAAGCATCAAGTAGCTTATCCTGTAAAAAAACCCTCCTTGTAATTTGACAAGTTTCATTGACATTTGTACAAATATTTAAGTATAGTTAGACTGCTCATGAAATAGGAAATACCACAGTGATATACAAAAAAACAGGGACTTGTAAACTAAAATTACAAAGAGGTTATCCTTACAGGTACTTTCTTCTGTGTCGCGAAGACGGCTGTATCGGCTCCTTTGACAGCTACGGACGTCAGACCACCCTGATTTATAGCTTTAAACGCATATTCTACAAAATGTTTATAAGTTATAATTCAACAAGTTCAAAATTGCAGATCACGCCAAGTCATAACTCTCGACCCAATTGTTTGTTCTAGAGTCAATGAATAACGTGGAAGTATCATTTGCATTGCAATGTAAAACATTTTTACGAGTCTTACCCACTTGGTAAAGCCGTCCTTCCGGCGAAAATATCGTAATATGTCTATCAAAACCAGCACTGCTACCTCGCGCCATGTTCACAACTTAATGGTTCCGTTTGTGTTCAGAAGTTCGAGCGACTCGAAACGTCAAGTCATGCAAGTTACTACTTTAAAGCAGTTCGCATCGAACGACAAAACTAATTGCCAAAATTATTTTCTCCAGTATTATTTTCACGCTTCATCGATAAATCACAATTGAATATAGATTCAAAATTAAATTTCTAACTGCTCTGTCAGGTTTTCTAAAAAATTATACAATCATCCAATGATCAACACCGCATTTTGAATATTTTCCTTTTTCTTTTGCTCTCTTGAACAAATATATCTATTTCGTTAAATTGAATTTTTTTTTAAAACTGTTTAAGAATAAAACATAACCATCTTATACTTTCAAATACAGTTTCAAATAACGTCTGATAATGAATTTAGTAAATGTGCTAAAGGTACAATTACAATACATGCATATGCAATTCAATTAACACACATATTACGATTATCCAAAATGCATTCTAAATTACTTCAAAGTTAAAAAATAAGGAATTTATGGTTTGAAATTATATTTTACGTTTAATAATAGAAGCGCGATTATTCGCATTTTGATATAGATACCGTTTATAGTGCTTTTTAGATTAAATGTTCTTTTGATCAAAATCAAATTTAATTAATTTGGCATGTGCAGTAGAGTAATACGTAATAGTAATGATTAAAATCCATATACGTATACGTACATTATAGTATTTCATAAGTTATGTGAACGTTATCGAAAATTACGGTTCTAAATTACACAAGCGTACTTACATATATCACTGACACAGAGTAAGGTCGCCTTTGGCGTAGTGTTGTTACTCTGTATCACTGATAGGAAAATGTGATATATACGATTTTCTAAATTGCTACTGATACTAGGAAATTCTTCCACGCACAATTGTAATATATAAGCAACTGCGTTCTTGAAAGAATTTCTTTCCGCTATAGTACAAATGTCTGCAGCAACAGGTAAAAATATTTAAATCAATGTTATCACGATAGAAATAAAACGTTTTATAAAAAAATATTCGCACAAAATAGAGGTAATTATTTGTTATTTACCTAATACGTATATACCGTTATTGATTGAAAGTTATTTTTTGAATGAGTAAATTCTTCAAAATAAACGTTGGTCATATGACTTATTGCGATTTTCTTTTTATTCTTCATATTGAAAATGTGTTATCGCGATAAAGCAATTGTAATTTTAAAGATTATTGCAAATTCTCCAAGATTAATACCTATTACGAGCATATTGTACCTTTTGCGCGGTAAAAGTTACAGATGAAATTACGTCGCTACTAAAGTTCATATTGCGATTTATAATTTTTCCGAGATGTATACTGTGTGAACATATTTCTAAAAAAAAAAAAAAATATTTTATCTAAAACTTTCTTGTTGATATTTCAATGTAACTAAGTAATAAATTATATGATAAAATATGAATTATTTTCTCCTGTATGTAAATTTTTATGATTGCAGGTGATAGTAAGGAAAATATCCCACAGCATGACGCAGAAACATTGAAAGAAGAATTCAATCCTACTGGTTAGAACTCTTCTTTCATTTCTTCAAAACAGTTATTTTAAATTAGTGTTCTATGTTTCAACTATTAGATCAATATTTTATAGAACACCAACATATTCGATATAATCCCTTGAAGGGAGAATGGGTAATAGTATCGCCAAATCGAATGAAACGACCATGGGGAGGACAAATCGAACCAAATATAGAGGAAGAGCTTCCAGATTACGATCCTGATAATCCACTTTGTCCAGGCAATGTTAGAGCCAGTGGACAGGTGATATTTTCACATGTTTGCTTCAAGATTTTATTTTAAAAATAACAAATTCTAAATTTCTCTCACTTTCTATAGATAACTCCAATATATGAAAACACATATTCATTTGTCAATGATTTTCCTGCGTTATTAGAATCGGTTCCCAGTCCATCGGCATCGGAAGATGAACTATTTCAGATGGACTCTGCCAGAGGTACATGTAAAGTAATGTGCTTTCACCCAAAATCAAATGTAACAATAGCCCTTATGAAAACAACTGAAATCAAGGAAGTGGTTAAACGGTATGTTTGCGGTAAAAATATTTACTGTACTCTAAATCCTTATTCAATAAGTATTATTCTACGTTAGATGGATTTTTGAAATGCTTGAATTGGGAGAAAAATGGACTTGGGTGCAAATTTTTGAAAATCGTGGTACTTTAATGGGATGTAGTAATGTACATCCACATTGTCAAATTTGGGCCAGTTCTTTTTTACCAAACGAAGCCAAAATAAAAGATAGATACCTTAATGATTATTATAATCGTAATAAGAAACCACTTCTCATTGATTATGTGCAGAAAGAACTTCTTAAAAAGGTGGGGCGCATTAATCATGTGATCTATATTTGTGTAAAACATGTTGTATAGTAATATACACGACAATAAAATATGTTAGTTTTTTTGTAAAAATTGTAAAAAATATTAAATGTTATATATATATATATATAAATTATTTACTTACTTTATAGGAACGTATTGTATTGGAAAATCGCGATTGGGTAGTCTTGGTGCCATTCTGGGCAGTATGGCCATATGAAACTATGATATTACCTAAAAAGCAAATATCCAGAATGCAGGATTTAACAGAAAGTCAGCAAGAGTCTTTGGCAGTTGTTATGAAAATATTATGCACGAAATATGATAATTTATTCAATTGCTCTTTTCCATATTCTATGGGCTGGCATGGTATAACATAACATTATTTATTATAAACATTTACCAAAAAGATATCATTATAAGTAATATTTTGTTTTTTAAGGGGCGCCGACTGGTCCATATGCAAAACAGGATTATCCTTACTGGACTTTCCATGGTATTTACTTACCCCCTTTATTACATTCTGCAAACATAAAGAAATATATGTCTGGCTATGAGCTCTTTGCACAAGCACAAAGAGACTTAACGCCGGAACAAGCGGCAGAGAAATTACGAAGTTTATCGAATTCTCACTTTAAGCATCCGGAAACAAGTTTAACTAGTTGCGAAATAGATAAATATTTCAAATAAATTAATTTACTTTGCACATAACAATATATTCTTGTAGATGTATATGTTACTCGCATATACATTATTTGTAAAACTGTATATTATTGAATTATGGGCACATGAACTTTATGAATAAAAAGCATAATAAGTATAACAAATGAACATAATTATATTTAAAATTTATATAATTAATACACAGGAAACGTATCATCAATTTTTTTACTCCATGCATGAATTCCCCCAATTATATCTTTTATTTCTAAATTACTTTCGTTCAACATCTTTTGAAAGTGTTTTACAGCCTTTTGTGAATCATTTCCTCTTCTACACATAACATACACTGAAAGAATATACGATAAAAGGAAATTCTTTGAAAATTTAGACCAAATAATTCTATACTTACGACCAATTTCGTCGTGGTCTTTTCTCATTTCTTGCATTTTATTTTTTATTAGCATTATCCTTTCATTATTATTAATTTCGTTCAATGGTACATTTACGGAATTCTTTAAACGACAAATTTGAAATTCTTCGGGCGAACGCACATCGATCAACATGTGAGGTTTTGTACCTAATTTTAACGTTGCATTATATTCTTCCACGCTTATTCGTTCCTCGTTCTTTAATATAGTCAACTTCGGATCTTTATCATTTGCTTTTGCACCACAAAATTGCTCATAATCGATCAATTCTTGTATGGTCGGATGTTCGCCACACACGGGACAATTTACATTTTTATCCCGCAAATTGATATTGCGAAATTTCGTTTCTAATCCGTCATATAACAGAAGTTGACCAGATAATATGTGTGGCATGTTGAGCAGAACTTTTAAAGCTTCTACTGCTTGTAAAACGCCAATGGTACCAACAACTGTAATAGAACATTTTTATATAAAATAAATTAAACAATAAAGTATATAATTATAAATACCTGGCCCGAAAACACCACCGTCGCCGCAATTTGTTACAGTCTCGGGGGGAGGAGGTTTGGGAAATATACATCTGTAGCAAGGTCCATAATGATTAAATACAGTTAAGTGTCCCTCGAACCTTAATGCGGATCCAGAAACTAAAGGTTTCTTACTCAGAACGCACGCATCATTTAATAGATAACGTGTAGCTACATTATCAGTTGCATCTAATACCACATCATAACATTTTATTATTTCTAAAGCATTGCTACTATCCAGTTGGATTTTATATGGAGTAATTTTAATGTTACTATTTAGGCTAAAATTAGAATATTATTTAGTATGTACAGTGATACAATATATAATATTGTATCAATTCGTATATACCGATTAAGATTTTCTGCAGCAGCATTTACTTTCGGCGTTCCAATGTTTATTTCTGTGAATAACAACTGTCTGTGAAGATTGTTAATCTCAACATCATCATAGTCAATTATACCAATGTGTCCAATACCGGCAGATGCCAGATATAATGCTGCTGGACATCCAAGACCACCTGCTCCTACAATTAATACTGCACTATTTTTTATCTTCAATTGGCCTGCAATGATATAATTACAATTATAATTTCAGCTTCATCAAACACAAGATGCTACTAAAAAACAATGAATATTAATTGTAGTGGATAAAAATTATTTTGGCAAGTTTTCTTTTCTTAAAATTTCGAAAAATACGACACACCTTTCACGCCAACTTCTGACAAAAACATTTGCCTGCTATATCTTGATATCTCATCGTTGCTCAGCCCACAGTCTTGTACAATTTGTTTTTCGCGCCTTAAGGCAGCCAGTTGGGCTTCTTTCGCGCGTAATAACTCATGTAATTCCGTAATTTCAACAACCAATTCTTTTTCATTCATGTCTACTAAATGAGCCCTCAGAAATTGGTTATTAACTTGTGTCTTTTTAAAGATTCAAAATAGAAATTCGATTGGGATCCTTGAAAGAAGAAAAAAAGAGGCTCGATTAGGTTATACCGACGCATGTTTCAAAAACCAGTTAGATGAAGCATTATACTCGTGGATGATCGTGGAGTTGAGGAACACAGATTGCACGACGTAATAGGATATCCGTTTGATAAAATTTCAATAACAAAGCAAACAGAATTACTCTATATGTTCAGTGTTATATTGTTAATCCTCAATATTGTTGGCAATGATCACGTCAACTTGCGTATTTAAATTCATGTTCACTACAAGTGGTTTCGCGTAGATGACATTGTTCTAACTGTGTATTGGTGTATGTAAAATTGATCAATTTAATGATAGTAATTAATCTCATTAAACGCAAGACTCTATAAATCTGTAAGCGGTATGAGATGCTATAAAGATTCCTTGCGAATTGAGAAATCTTTTAAAGAGGTATTAACTCGACTAGGTTTATCGCTTTAATTGTAAACAGTGCATTTCATCACTGAATTTTTTCGGGTTTGAAACGTACACGACGGAAAAAATATTGTATATATTGGAAGTTACAAGTGAATGTATATAGAATCTGAACCGACGGAGGTCCAGCGTGTGAAATTACATGTATGTATTTCGTGTGCGTTGTGCGATCGCGTGATACGGATTTCGTGAATGTTTAAAACAAGATTAAAAGAGAAGAAAGCAGGGAAAGCTGAAACGATTCTGCGGGAGCCAGTTCACTAGAAATCACAATGCACTTGAACGCAATAGTCCTTTCGAGGTCTGCGTGTTTATTCGGGCAGTGTCGTGCGCAATAAGCGCAGTACAGTCTTGGGCAAAGGTACCGAGAAAGCTGATGATTAATGTCACGGTCAGCGAGATTCTCACTTTTGACAAGTGTACACAGGGAAATCATGATATTCTAATCGTAAGCGACAACGCTCGCGTTGTTTGTGAAAAACTCTGATTGTAGCAGACGTCAAGATGGTGGAACCAATTTTTGACTATCAGTTTCGTCTGATACTCATCGGCGACAGTACAGTCGGAAAAAGTTCATTGCTAAAGTATTTCACTGATGGAAAGTTCGCAGAGGTACGCAGCATCTATGCGTAACTATACACGTACAAATTGATTTCAGATGAAAACAAACCGTTACATCTCTCGTCAGTTATTTTTAATTCCCTTAACTAAGCGGACCAAATTCACAGTCGTGTTTTCATATGATCTAACCGACTTTATATTTTAACAATCTAATAACACAATTGGAGCATCTACAATTTTCCGATTTAATCCTTACAATACAATTTATTGGAACTACTTTCACAACCTGAATGAATCGATTTTTTTCTTTATTTACATTTATTTATTTTTTTTTTTTATTTTCGAAAATATATTAGCTATTGTATTCTGTCAAAAAAACTTTGAAACCCATTTTTGTCTCTTCTAATTTTCTTTCGCGTCACTGCTCACGTTATTATTTAATTTTTTTAGCTTTCAGACCCAACAGTTGGGGTAGATTTTTTTGCTCGATTAATCACAGTCAAAGATGGGACAAGAATAAAGTTACAACTATGGGATACAGCTGGCCAAGAAAGATTTAGGTGCGTCATTTACATTCTTTATGAAATTGCATGTGAAATTGGTTATAAAAGATTATGTAATCTACCAATAAAATACTTTGTTTACCTTAGGTCAATTACAAAATCCTACTATAGAAACTCTGTTGGAGCACTGCTTGTATATGATGTCTGCAACAGAGCCAGTTTTGAACATATTCCTCAGTGGATGATGGAGGCTCGTATATCTATTGAACCACACCGTCCTGTATTTGCACTGGTAGGCTGTAAATTAGATTTAGTTACCAATGGGGGCAGGCGAGAAGTTTCGAAAGAAGAAGCAAGAGCTTTTGCCGACCAACATGGAATACATCACATTGAAACCAGTGCAAAGACAGGAGTTAATGTTGAAGATGCTTTTCGAACAATCACGCAGGAAATTTATAATAGAATACAAACTGAGGAATACAAGGTAGAGGATGGTTGGGATGGTATAAAAACTGGATTTGCCAGGCCTGGGGGCTTAGATTTTAATCTAGCCGAGGCAGAACCAGCAAAAACTTCTTGCTGTTAAGTCAGTGTTTAATTTGTCGGTGGGTAACACTTTTTTTAGAATGCAGTGGATATTATTTATACATATACATTGATCAAATTCTTTGTAAAACTTTCGTAATATTAATTTCAACTGATAAACAAAATAACAATTATTTTCACCTATTAAAATTGCAGTCCATTGCATTCTTGTTTTAGGGAAAAGACTAACAATGAATATAAACTGTGTATAAGTCTGGAATAGACATTTTTGTACATAGCTTGTATAAACAAATCAATATATATCATCGAGGTATATAGGCATTAAATTAGGAGTGTTTTCTATCTTATTTAAAAGATAAAGTGTATAAACATAAAAAAAAAAGTTTCACAAAAGATCACATTTTTATGTATTTTATTGTACAAATTAACTATTCTGTTACGCGAAAAATATAACAGCCACTATTAGAAAATTTCATGAGAAGAGATACAAAACTCTCAATTTATAACGCGAAATATTTATTTGCAGTAGATCAAATTTGAAACAAAATTTTCCGTAAAAATATGAAATTGCAAATTACATATTGTACATATATAAATTATTAATGAAACGATTATACCAGATACGTTGATTTATTATTTCTTAAATAACGGTAGCTACATTTTGTTTTTAATGCCACAGTTTGTGATAACGTTATACTTACATGGGGAGCCAAATTAATATACACTTCACTATTATTCATGTACAATTGAAGACAAACAGGATAATAAATTATTATTATATCAATTTAAATTGCGAGAACAATATGAAACGAACAATGATATTTGTGCTCTGATTTAAACAAATCAGGTTTATTTTGTACATATTATATAGTATGTTCACGTAAAAATTTTGTTCAAATATTTTGTTACAAAATATCATGTTAGCTAGTGTACCTTAATTTACCTTAGGTAATATGAATTAGTAAGCAACTGCTTTATTATATTTTTATCATAAGATGTATTATAAACATACGAGACGAGTACATGGCAAAAAGGTTTTATATAATATAGTATAACATATTTCTAATATAACCATTTTTTACCAGGTTATATGTTTTACACTTTTTCATATCTATCTTTAAAAATAAAACACCAGACTTCTCTAACATTGATGATATAATTTAAGAAAGAAAACATTTGCATAAATTAACGAGAACAAATTCAAGTAAATGTTATTTATACGACTTGCATATTTTTGTGCTAATCTAATTAGGAAAATATTTATTTACATACAGTAACACTGTTGTATGCAATGTATAATACTTTTTAGGTAAAAGAATGTAGTAAAGTCTGTATTTGTATAAATAATAAGCATATATGCAGCAAGAATGGAATTCATTTGTGAAATTTTATACTCATTAACTGTGGCATAAAGTGAAAATACATAGATATTACAAACAAATGTGAACGAATACTATTATAACATGGAATTAAACTTGTATAGTTCTCTATACAGGACATTTATCTTTTAGTGAACAGATAGTGATAGAATACATGTACAGTGTTGCAAAATACTGATTAACAAAATTGGAGTTTTTATGTCTATAAGAATTTGTAAATTTGTTATATCAATATTATCCAAAGTTGTAATAAGTTCCTCTCATTTTTAAATATTTTTTTGTAAATAGAAATTGTTGATTTTACAGTAAAATTGTCAATTGTTACAAATCTCTGTACTACATTGTTTTAACGCGCGCGCGAACGCTCGAATATTACTTTACATTGTGGGTTATATACATCCTAATATTTTCTCATAAAATGTATAAATTCATGTATACTTTGACAAATTTTGAGTTACATCAATCTTTGTGCATTACACACTTATGTATAATCGTGTTGAAAAATAAACAATATATCATAGAATTGTATATTATTTTTCTGTAATTTATTCTATGTAATTATATTTGTACTACATATATAGAACTATATGTAGAATCCCGTTTGAATATGCTAAAAATAAAAATGGTTTATTCACAAAATGTACAAATAGCAAAATTTAATATGTACAAACTTTTAAAATAATACGTGGGTGTTAATATTGATATTATACGATTGTATATCGATTTTAAAGAAAATGAAAATATTCATATCCCGAATTATAGTTCATCAATAAAATAATATAAAATACTAATAGGCAGTTATTTTTTTAAGTGTAATATATCAGTTAAAAAGTTTAATTTGAGATTAATGAAAATAGTTTCAAATACTGATCTTCTGATAGCATCTATGTCTTTGTAAAATAATTAAAATTATACCACTTAATGAAGGAACCATCTATTTGATATCGAGCACACGTCCGTGAAAGTTATACTACAAATACTTATATTATTTTATAGTTTAAATTATGTACATGTTTACATTATAGAGATATTAAATGTTTTACAAGAACCTCCTAGCAGTAGATATAATATTATAAATTATACTTTCTTTATATACGATCTTTATATTATAAATATTTTTTTTCAATTATCTTTGACATTATTTTATTACCTTTATCTAAAGTAGTATTAAAATGTGTTTATTTGTATAATTATTATCCCAATTACAATTTGTTAATCAATAAAATATCTTTACTGTACATATTACAAGTAATAATCCCACATTAAATTGTTCATAAAATTAGATCGAAATTGGTGAAAAATTATAATAATAATTTTATACTTCATGAAGTTAAACCTTAATTATGAATAATCTTATTTTTAATAGTACTAAGCTCACTATTTTGAAAGCTAAATGTAAATAATTTAATTGTATTTAAAATGACTAGAAACGTTATTTTTTCTTGCTATTATTATATATTCCTCATTTTTGACAAGAATAATGTAATGCAAATGTACGAAATCGTGGACAGTTTCTTAGAAATACTATATTCAGGATATATATAATAATACTTGTGTCTAAATAAAACTTTCTAGAATTATTTATTTGTACAGTGCAACTTAAGCAATTTACTTAGGTACTTCTTATTTACAAAACAATTTACTACCTGAACTATGTACACAAAGATAATCTCATAAAGAAAAGAGGAAAATAGATTTACTAAACCGCCGACAAGCCGATGACGATTCACCACAAATATGAAATGACAAGGCATCTTACAATTAGTGGGATAAGTTATAAAGTGAACTTGGAATTTGATAAAGATAAAGTTGGAGTAGAGGATATTGACCATAACTTGATTAAGTTAAAAATATCTCACAACTAGAGTTCTCGTTTAATTCCAATTTAATATGGAAGAATTAAGACCTCATTTACCAGATATATGAAGTTTGTTAAAGTTGACAATTCGGGGAAAGGCGCATAGCTGAAAACCTTGTGCGAGTAGAAATAAATATCTATATTATTAGCTCTGGATGATTTTAAATAGGACAGATTAAATATTGAGACAATTTCAGAAACAAGCAAACCATTTTGAAGAATAAATGGCGATAGTAACTATACTTTCAATAGATATCTCGTGAAAGGGAACTTGGAATCAATGTTGATATGGTAATACAACTAAATTACTACTGTTTGGACCGGAAACTCCCGACCAGATTATTCAATTAGCTAAGGCTTTGGAAAAATGAGATTGACCTTAGTGTCAAAGGACATCTTCCTGAGGCGAATCAAGAGACTAGAATTCAAAGATCATTGATAGAATCAACGACAATTACGAGCCTAATTATTAGGCAGTTTTTAACATTCTTTAATATAATTGTCGTTGACACTGCAGATAATTCCTAAAGAATAATAGAGAGAATTAGAAGCTTGTCCAAAGATTCATAAAAATCACAGAGGATATGTGATCAGAATTACTCTGAAGCGGGTCAACGGGAGCGACAAGTATGAATTAGGTTGATTATGGTAATGGAATGTGGCGAAAGACAACCGTATAAATACATATATTAATATTTGTTGATTTTAAGGAATTTTTAAAATTGAAATCAGTGCAGCTGGTTTTGTAGATTTTGGGGACAGTAAAAATAACAACATGGATGCAGAGACATACGTCTACTCTACTATTCACTGGATTCATGTTGGTTGAAATCTCCCAGCCCCTTGTTGTATAAAGTAAGTTCCAGAAGAGTCTGTAACACTGCATAAAATGGGAAGTTTGAAAAGATATAAAGTGATCTTCCCAGTGATAAATACCAACCAATATTTAATTTCATCCAAGCGCCTTGTCTTGGAATGTCCTTTCAATGATCTATGATTGCATGTGTCTAATTTAAAGGCAATTCAAGAAAAGAAGGTTTTGCATTTTTGTAGTAAGTGAAGTATTAACATTACAAGGGATCACTTATTATAGCTTTACTACTCCAATGACTCACATCCAAACAAAACGTATTCTTCTCTCGATAACCAAAACGGATTACCCTTTACATATTCAGGCGGAGTTTTATCTGAAACAATGACTTATATGAGAAACCCAGATGTTTAATTATAATAACATTATTCAATTTTTTCTATTTAAGGATATGAACACATTTTTAAAAATAAAAACTACTGTTTGTACATACCAGGATGCACGGCTAAAGGCACATACGTGGAACCCATAGCTACATTCCAACTATGTGTACCAGGACAATTTCTTACTTCCAAAATGTTGCTATGTTCAGGTAATAATTCTTGTAAATCTTTAGTTAATCTTAATTCAAAACCTGAAAGGTCTGTATTGCCTCCAGTAAGCAATATGTTTGAGAGGCAATCATACATTAATTCTTCTGATAAACCAGCTGTTACATCTTTTATCACTTGTGGCAAGCCAAGATTAATATACATCATTTCGGGAGCAATATATAATTCTGAGCCCAAGGAAACTCTCTGAAAGATATTTCCATTTCTTACTCCCGTTTTATTGAGATTTTGCCATTTTACAGATATAAGAATGGATGGAAAATTCACTTACCCATAATTGTTTATAGTCAGCATAACTATCAACTCTAAAATTAATATATTCCTTAGACTTTTGTCCTACCCGTTTATCTTCATTTTTAATATTATAACTTAATCTACATCTTTCTTTAATTGCTAATGTGTCCAAGTATGTTATAGGAATCTGGTGATATTCTTTCGATTGCCAATGCATAGCTTGTTTTAAGTGATAAGCTACATGCCAACCACCAACAGGTAATAATCTCCAGCGTTGTGGTATAACGCGACCTCCAATTACAACAGCTACTGTTGTACTGAGAGCTCCACTATCAATAACCACACAAGTTTCTACATCCAGCATTGCACAAGCTGCCAAAGGTTTTGGAACCAGACATACTCTATAAATATTATAATTATATTTCTATAACTATAATTCTTTGATCATTTAAAAATAATGTGTTCCTTATTATATAATTTTTTTTTATTATTTTTATTACCTTGCAACTTTAACTTCTTGGAATAAATAGTGCAGTAGCTGTTTCCTGAGTGTAGGATGCATAGCTAATGGTTCGCAAAACATAAGCACTGCATTAGGTTTTCTTAGTATCGAAGTTAAACTCATCTGGTGAAACAAATGATCAACGAATGTTCTGAGAACAGGAAATGTTCCATCGCTTAACAATGCTTCTGCTGGACTAACAATATCAACATTTGGAATTCCAAGTACTTCAACAGTATCTGTGCAATATCCATTTATGAGTTTCTCATAAATTGGATTTGGTCTTGTGTAACATGTTAGATCATTTTGATGTGTAATTAATCTCTTTTTCTCTCTGTATAGTTTTACAGGGTTACAAAAGACACAAAATGGACCGCTGGGTCTTTGAATTTTAGCAGTTGCTAATTCTGGTAACTTCAACAATTTAAATTTTTTAACCAGTGATTTCCCATCACATTTTGGACGTGCACTACTACTCGGTACATTTTGTGTTTGAGTTTGTTCCAAGTGAGTTTCGTTATTATATTTCGGTATACCAAACATCGAAAAATGTCTTCTCAATCCAAAATTTGGTGTAATAACCCACGTATATTTATTTCCAATTTCTATTACTACTTTCGCACTGGAACCTTCTACACAATTTCTTTGACACGTGTAACCACTGCAGTGACAACATTTTGGAAAAGGAACATTTTCTCCTAAAGTGATTACCATATGCAATCTATAACACATTGCTTTAAAACTGACACTCAACAACTGTAAACATTTTATATCTGGAAATCTAAAATGTACTTTTGAAATCAATTGTAGCCACTTCATTTTCCTACGAAAAATACGAACAACTTTTAATGACTAATTAATAGCAGTAAGTTTTCAAATAGTATATTTTACGTCAATGTTAATTTATAAATTTCACGAAGTTTTATAATTATAAAGTTTGCAAAAGTTTAGAGTAAACTTTAATTTTTTATAACAAGAAAGAAAATTTGAAATAATCGTAAATATTTATTTATTTGCCAATTGAACTGCAACATAACTTTGATGTAAACTTAACCTCAAACTTACCATAGGTAGTCTGTGTCCGAAGTTTTCCGTAAATATTTGCATGTGCTACCGAAAGCAATAATATCAGGTACATTGCAATATAATAAAATTTTAATCCAAATTTCTTCAGGGAAGACCGCGGGATCCATAATTATTAATAAAAACGATATAAAAGGTACAATTAACAGTTACTAATACAAGATTGCAGACACTCCCCAGAAACAGCGAATACGCTAGTCAAGTTCAAGGTTACAATGGTGAAAACAGTGAATCAATATGTTATCAACGGACGATACTTCACTAAGAATTACTAGTTACTATAATGGCTATTATATAACCAATAATACATAATATTACGCGATGGAAGTGTTACGTAGTATATATGTAAAAAATTTTTTAGATATCTTACGATCGTAAACTGCTATAGAAATGAAACATTTTAAGCTTTTACTATTCACATTCAAACAATTAATTCTTTAGGTTTCTGGGTGCAGTTCCAACATTATTAAAAAATACGACTTAAATATACTCGGAAACTTTACGATGTAGAAATTATTTGCATTTTTTCTAAATATTTTGAAATTCAATTACATGTATTTAAAAACTATGGAAACGGCAGAAATGACACATATTTATACAAAAATGAATGATTTAATATAACATTTATGAAATAACAATGTACCTCTACGTGATTTAAGTTAAAAAAATAATATTAGTATAAATAATACTGATTGTTGTTTTAATCTTCTAACATAATTATGTAATTTTATAGCAATGTATTTAGGAAGCAGCAAGAAGCGCTTCTATGTAAGGATTTTTGCGAGACAAAGCTTGTTTCTTAAATGTTGAAATTTTATCTTTTAAATCTTGATCTGACAAAAGTTTATCCAACTTCTTACATTTGTTAACAAATTCTGTAATAATTCCTTCAGCTTCCTGTAACATTTACAATGATAACACTGTCTAAATAATATTAAATAAGAATGTCTAGTTATATCTTTTGAAATAATTTATAAATTTGAAAACAGTCAAAAATTAGTAATGTCACCTTGATTATTTTTTGTTTCTTCTGTGGATTATCAGATCCTTCAAAAACTGAAGCTTGATAATCTTCAAGTTTTGCTTGTTTGCGTTTAGCAAACTGAAAATTAAAAGTAGTATTTTGTAAATAATTTTGAATAAATATATTAAGATATATAATATACAGGGTGTTCTGTAACTGGTGGTACAAGCGAAAAGGAGGTGATTTTACATGAGAAAAATAAGTCTAAAATATAGAATAACAATTTTTTATGCGAGGCTTTGTTTTCGAGAAAATCGATTTTGAATTTTCGCCGGGTATGCGTGCACTTAACCATGTCTCGTTATAGATGATTGTCTCGATGAGTATTATTGCAGTTTAAGTTTAAGTTTAAGTTAATAAACAATTCCGTGACACTGGAAGTGTTTATCAACATAAACATCAATCGAGACAATGATCTACAGTGAGATCCGTTATAACAAGACATGATCAAGTGCACGCGTACCCGGCGAAAATTCAAAGCCGATTTTCTCGAAAACAAAGCCTCACACGAAGGATTTTTATTCTATATTTTAGACTTATTTTTTCATGTAGAATCACCCCTTTTTCGCTTGTACCACCAGTTACCGAACACCCTGTATAATTAATTCAAATATACATATGTATAAACCACTTACCTCTATCACATCTTGAGGGAAATTGGCCATTTTAGCAACATGTATTCCAAAACTCTGATCACACACACCTGGTTTGACTTTATACAATAATGTTAACTTATTGTTATTGACAAGAGCTGTAACATGGTTGTTTTTAACAGCAGGCACTTCCTCCTCTAATTTAGTAATTTCGTGGAAATGTGTTGCAAAAAGGCAATAGCATTTAATTTCTTTTGCTAAATACCTACAAAAACATTTCAACTTTGTATATTTACAAGTTATAAGAAAACAATCAAAACGAACACGTTCATTAAAATATTGTTTACAACTTACTCTGCAATTGACCATGCTATACCACAACCTTCATAAGTAGAAGTACCTCTGCCTAACTCGTCAATCAACACAAGAGAATTACATGTAACCGTCTATCAACAATTACATAAAATGTCAAATACAAGTATTTTCAATGCAATATTTTAAAAAGATATTCTACTGTAATCCTTTATAAAAATCAATCTCTGTTTATATTTTTTAAATGCACGTATAAAATCCTATATCCGAACTATATCCTGCTATAATTCAACTCATCCTAATTATAAAAATAAGCATTTTACAGTAGAATACCCCTGTAAGTAATCAAATAACAAAAAGGCTCCCTGTTCAGACTCAACGCGTTCGCGACGAGGGCTGAATTTGTATCATGTAAAATGCACTATCGGTGGTTCAGCCTGTCGTGAACGTGTTAAGTTATTTAAAATTACCCTTAATACAGCAGCAGTTTCTATCATTTCCATCATGAATGTAGAAAGTCCTCTTAATTGAGAATCATCGGCTCCTACACGCGCTAATATACAATCCAATAACGATATTTGTGCTTTGTCACAGGGAACAAAACTTCCAATATGCGCCATTAATGCGGCAACACCAACGGATCTTAAATAAGTACTTTTACCTCCCATATTCGGGCCAGTTATGATACAAAAATGACACTGTCCTATAATTTTGATAATTATTGTAAACACTAAATGGTAAATAATAGAAGTGTACGGGTACCTATAATATATAAATATTGTATATTTTCTCATAGTATTAATAAAAGTATCACCTCTTTTAAAATTGACATCATTGGCTATATAATCTACTCCTTCCTGAACTTCTAAGCATGGATGTCGAACTTGAACAAGGTTTAATTCGCCTGCTTCACTGGGCAACATTTCAGGACGAATGTATGGTTTATTGGCACTTATGGCAGCAGATGCAAAGGCAGTGAGTACATCAAGACTGGCCAGCACATTTCCAATAGCTTTTACTGGACTATTGTAACCAGCTAATATGTTTAATAAATGTAATTTACAAACTGTAGCTACTTATTTTCTAATAAAACTAATAATATTCAAACCTGCAATTTCTATTATTTCTGTCACAACCTTTTTCTGTTCTACTGTATACTTTTCTCTGGCAGCAATATAATCGTCATTTAAGTAGTTCATTTCATTGCTCCGGAATCGTACGCCCTGTTTATTAGAATCCAAAATAGTGTAATGTTTTTTATTTCTTAACACTTTTTCATCCTTTAGTGTGACACGAAAATAATAGCCAAATTGTTGATTAGATTCTAGTTTTAGTATTTTGCTAGTTCCGATCGAGAGATCGTTAGCAACCTTAGATAACTGTGCTTGTAATTGTCTTTCCACTTCATCCATAGAAACTTTCAACTCTAATAATAGAAAATTAATGCGTTAACCGTAAACGAGCATAATTGTACACTACAACTCAGAAATGGATGTAATTACATCTTCATGCGGATACCTTTTAATTCTTCATCAAATTCTGATCGAACTAAGAAATCTCCTCTTTCAGCAGCATCCAAATCAATTGTTTCACCAACCATCTGTTGAAACTTATCCATGTCTTTAAGATGTTCAATTAAGGGATCAGTGAACATTGTACGTAAGGCCACTGTGTTCATATCAGATAATTGTTTTACTAGTCTTGGTAAATGTAATACACATGTGTAAATCCTGAACCAAAGAATAAATAAATAAATGCTGAACTGAGGTACAAATGACACATAAAAAATGTACAATTTATTTACTTATACAAATCTTGCAAAGTTGCTTTTTTGCTGGATAATTTTTTTGCAAGTACTTGTAAATCTGGTATGCGCCTTAAATGATCTTCATTAAGTCCAGACCTTAATTCATTATCATTCACTAATGCTTCAACAATGTCGTGTCTCTCTTTTATAAGGGACAAATCTTTAAGAGGTTGCCTAATCCATTGTGCAAGAAGCCTATGACCCTGAGGTGTTCTGCATTTATCCAACAGGGCTAAAATACTTGTAGGGGCATTTCCATTTAATACTGATAGAGTGTCAGCACGTGGTTCAATGTTAAGTGCTTTCATAGCAGCTGAATCTAGTTTCAAATAACGCGACTGTTCTATTTGGTCCATGCTAAATTGATTTAAATTTCCTTCACCTGATGTTAACTAATTGAAAAGTATTATATTAAATTATGATATGGAAAATATTTTACACTACCAGTAGTATAATACTTACATCTAAATATTTAATAAGAGCAGAAGTAGATGACATAGCAAGATTTAAATTGGTCTCAGGCAGAGATTGTACATTTTGTTGTTGTCCTTTTTTGAATTTTATTAAAGTATTTAAATCTTGCACTATTGACTCGCTCGAAAATTCGTTCTTTTTTCTCAAAGTGACCATTATATTATTTCGTTCCATTAACTACAAGAACAATAATTTCAAACCCAATGAAAAATTATTTTTACACAATAAAATATGTCTTATTTAGATACCTGCTTTAGAGTTTGAAATTCGTGACTACCTTCGCCTTGAATTAATAAACATTCTTTAGGAGCAAGTGTAACAATAAGAGATTCCAGATTAGAAAATGACTCATTATCTTGAAATTCACAAACAGAAAATAGGGTTGCAGTAGTATCTACGCAACTTAAACCAACGACCTTGCAAAATATAAAATTTAATAGTTATCTTTGGATGATACAATACTTGAAAAATTCTTATCAAGGCTGATCATAATTACTTACTCTTGATTTTCCTTCTACCCCCAATTTCACCGCTATTACGCGTACACTAACTGCCACATCGTTATTATCAAATAATATATCTTCAAACTGTGTTAAATTGCCAGGAGAACCCTTATATTCTAATACCCAATTTTGATTTTTTGCTGAACCTTGATTGACGTAAACTTCTATCCTATATTGTTTCACTAATAATAAATCACGTATAAAAGACTCAAAATGGTTCTTATTGAGAATAACACCCTCAATTTTGTATGGATCTATATTAAACATAAAATTGAATATTACTTTCCAAGCATAGAAATCAAATTGAACTCCAAAAATTGAAGTTTAATTTGCTTACCAGATCCTAACATTTTACAAACAGCTGTGGTTTTAAAAACTTCCTGTGCAGCAAATAAAGCATCACTACCATGTAATGTGTAATAATCTGTTCTATTAAAAAATCGTATAGTAGTATTGAGTTTCTGAAACGAATAATTATTTAATTATACACACATATATATACATATATCAAAAAATTAATTTCAATTGTTTAACTATACGCATTATATGTGTTAATAAATCTTTGCCCCAAGAACTACACAATATGACCTTGTTTTTTAAAGTATCCTTGACCTATTTATGTAAGCTGCAAGTTTACAGAAATGATAAATACAATATAGCTAAAGCAACATGAGATTCCAAGTATGCTCATTTTACATAAATATTCTGTTAATACTAAAATGTATTTTTCTTCATACAGTTTCTTGGTTTATTTTATTTGCTGTACAAATCAAAACATTAATTTAATATGTGTTGCAAGTCTTAGGCGACAAAAAATACAAACTAGTAATATTAAGTATTATGAGTTCTAAAACTTGGAGTCTTCATAAATTTAAAATGATATAATATTTTGTAAAGAAATTAAAATATATAATTATTAATAAGAAATAAATTAACTTTTACGTTATTAGAAAATTGACATACAAAATATTTGAAATACGAATACTTAATAAATTAGAGAATTGTGGTAAGTATTACTGAAATATAATTAATACGTTTCACATTTCCAAGAAAATGAAGAATCTTGTTATATATCTGTAGGTCAATGTATATCTGGGGGCAAAGCATCATGAACTCATATTAATGTAATGCTCTTGGTTTCAAGGAAATCTGGTATTCTATAAAAACTACTAATCAATTTTGAACACAATATGAAATAGTATGTAGCTTTTAATTAATTTCTTCATTTTTAAAAATGTTATAGTAAAAGTTTATGAGAGAAATTATCAATAAATATTGAAATGAAGAGTGATTATGATTATAATATCAAACTTGAACTCAATTTACTGATTTTATAATCGCTGTTATTTGTTAACTTGGATACTACAAAAATATATTAATATGAAACATAAAGCACAAATAAGTAGTTAAAGCACTAAATTAAGTAGTAAAAGATTCCAAACATTTCAATAACATTCAGTTGTCTGATATTATCTTGAAAGTATTATTCACACTTATTATGATAAAAGATCACAGTTCATGTTCCAGGAAGGTCAGTTGAATATGTTTTAAGTAGGCCATGACAAAAACATCATGAACCGTTTTACTTCTCAAATTATTTTAGCTTAATTATATTACAGCAACTTTTTATATTTAATTATCAGGTTTAATATTAAAACAGATAATATATGAAATATATTGAATATATTCCAAGCAAAAAATACTTTGACATTTACAAACAAATGAAACAATAACACTTTAAATTTAAAATTACAAGAACATATTTAAACTCTTCAATGTCTCTGTGACAATCACCTTGAAATTATACTTATTATGAAATAAGAATTCATTAAAATGTCACAACAAGGATGTTACATATATAGAATGACTTCATTGATGACACATCAAACCAAACATGGAAAATCATTATATCTATTTCTTGGAAATTAAGGTATTATATTTACAGATTTAAAAAACTTATAAAAAGATAGTTCTTTTTAAAATATGTACATAGAATTGTTGATATATTGTAAAACGTATTTTTTTTTTTTTAATTTTTCCAAAACTATTTTTTAAAGTAGGATATTTAATATTTACAGTAGATAGAATGTAAATTTTTTAATTAAATAAAAAGGGCAATAAGAAATATTAATGTATAATTTATTAGATGCAATACACTGTTTTTCTAATATTTTCTTCTAAACATTGAAATAAGATATTATATGATTAATTACAAATTAAACAACAAATTTAGGAGATATTACATTTAAATCAAATGTGGTAAATGTTTTTCTCTTCGCAGAAATTTGTATATTGCTATGAATTACTGATACCGATAAGAATGGATGTAAACTGAAATAAACGCATAGCAAATATTATCATCATGCAAGAATGAAAGAGAATGTTTTCAGAAGAAGTGGTAAAAAGAAGGGGAAACCAACATAAATGGAATTGCTGCAACCTATGTGTAGTACATGTTAATCTTTTCTGTCACAGAGAGCATCGCAGTTCTTTATTGTCTTGCTTGAAGTAATAAATTTTGGTCTCTTGTCATAAGGTAATTAAATTTTTAGTTTTAATCAGCAAAGAACATACAGTGAATATTTAATTGCCAATATGTACTACTAACAGAGTTAATGTTTCTTCTTATAATAATAAAAGTAAAAGTTATGAAAATATAAAAAAATATTTATTTATACATTCTTTTTCCATAATAGCTAATATTGTAACTATATTTTACATTTCAGAGACCAAATCAGTAATATGGTGGTACAAAGAATTGCCATTTTATTGTTATTAATAACACAAGTATTATCTGCACCAAGTGGATGTATAGAATCCTGTGGTTTTTATAGCAAACAATTTCAAACTGGTTCACAAATACCTAGTAACATTCAAGGTTACAATGATTTAACACAGACTGCAACACGTTTACAAGGACTTGACTATTCCAGACCTGGTACTTGGTCTGAACACAATGACTATAATACGAATAATGGAAATGGAAAAATACATGAAGAACATGGTCAGATTGTTGATGGTCCTAAGACGGTAAGATACTACAAGAAGAATTATTCATCTTCTTACAGTACAGGAAATACCTATGGTGCAGGATTACCAGAAATTGAACATCAAAATAATTATGGACACGGTATTCGTGTATCTAATGCAGGAGAGAGTTTTAATTCTCAACAAGCATACAATCAAATAGGTAATATTGAATCAAGTGCACAACAACGTGAATATAATAGAATACAAAGCCAACAACATACACAATCATCAGTCAGAAGAGCTAATACACAAAGTGAGAGGCTTGAAGATTTTGGAGAATATGGTGGAAGCTCACAAGGAGTACAAGATGCATCAGATTTGGCTACTCAAATTTCTCAAAAAACTTATTCTAATGCACAACCTAGAAATTGGAGCAAAGTGGATTCATATGGAACTGATGGAGGTCATGGACAAGTGTTTGAAGAAGAAGGTCAATATGTATCAGGACCTAAGAAAGTCCGTTATTATAAAAGAAATTACACTTCTAGTTCTGGCTTAACTAGCAGTATTCCTATATCTATACCTATATCTGAAGTGACTAATACTGGAGTAGAAAATATAAATAGAGAAATAGAAAAATTCCATAGAGAAACTGGGAAAGAATTTAATCAGATATCTAGTACAAGAAATACGGCATCTAGTAATATTGCGCAAACAAATATTGGTATGCATGAATTAGCCAGTGATAATCTTTATAGCAATACACATAGGAGTCAAATCGACCATGGAAGTAGTTTATCTACACATCATAATGAAGAACATTTAACAGATACTGTCACCAAACCATATATAAATCCAACTCAGAATACTTATGGTGCCAATAGTTTCAGCATGTATGAAAGACACGAAGGGTATGTACCAAAATTACAACCATCTACACAATTTATAAATCCTACACCAGGATATACAAATGTACTTAGTACTGGAAATAGTGGTTACAATAGAAATATATATAGCAAAGGCATAATGCAGCAACAAACAGACAACATGCAAGAGACACAACTTTTGGATAGTCATCAATCAAGATTGAATCGTGATCAAATAACTGATGATAACATGAGGCAAAATATTTATACTCAAAATAGACACATAAATACAGGTATGCCAGGACGAGTTTCACATTATAAAGAACACTGGAGTTCTAGTCATATGAAAGAAACATCAGTTCCACATTATTCCTCAGATATTTCACATACCAATGAGCAGGGCGCTTTGTACAACAATAGATATAGAGAAAACAGTTTTAACTCTGGACATCAAACGACATTAGAAAAATTACGAACTGGAGAGTTTGAATTAAGTCAAATGGGAAATCATGCAGACTGTACACAAGGAACAACCGACCATGTACACACAGATTCACAATTGCATAGAAAATACAAACGCAGTCCAAACTCTGATCCCTTCAGTTATATGCAACAATCTGATGAATTTGATGACCTAACTCAACAAACATCTGGGAAACCTAAAATTGAACAGGAGTCACAACACTTTCACTACCCTTGGGGACCAAGTATGAATACACAGCAATCAGAAGATTTGACACAGCAAACAGGTGAATTTGATGATCTAACACAAAAGACTTCTGGGGAGCTTGAATTTGGGCCACCATCACGAGATTCCTATCAACCTCGTAGACCAAGTACTGGTAATCAGCAAACAGAAGATTTAACACAGCAAACAGGTGAATTTGATGACCTAACTCAACAAACATCTGGGAAACTTGAATTTGGGCCACCATCACGAGATTCCTATCAACCTCGTAAACCAAATACTGATAACCAGCAAACAGAAGATTGGACACAGCAAACAGGGGAACTTGATGATCTAACTCAACAAACATCTGGGAAGCTTGAATTTGGGCCACCATCACGAGATTCCTATCAACCTCGTAAACCAAATACTGATAACCAGCAAACAGAAGATTGGACACAGCAAACAGGGGAACTTGATGATCTAACTCAACAAACATCTGGGAAACTTGAATTTGGGCCACCATCACGAGATTCCTATCAACCTCGTAAACCAAATACTGATAACCAGCAAACAGAAGATTGGACACAGCAAACAGGGGAACTTGATGATCTAACTCAACAAACATCTGGGAAACTTGAATTTGGGCCACCATCACGAGATTCCTATCAACCTCGTAGACCAAGTACTGGTAATCAGCAAACAGGTGAATTTGATGACCTAACTCAACAAACGTCAGGGAAGCTTGAATTTGGGCCACCATCACGAGATTCCTATCAACCTCGTAGACCAAATACTGGTAATCAGCAAACAGAAGATTGGACACAGCAAACAGGGGAACTTGATGATCTAACTCAGCAAACATCTGGAAAACTTGAATTTGGGACACCATCACGAGATTCCTATCAACCTCGTAGACCAAGTACTGGCAATCAGCAAACAGGTGAATTTGATGACCTAACTCAACAAACGTCAGGGAAGCTTGAATTTGGGCCACCATCACGAGATTCCTATCAACCTCGTAGACCAAATACTGATAACCAGCAAACAGAAGATTGGACACAGCAAACAGGTGAATTTGATGACCTAACTCAACAAACATCTGGGAAACTTGAATTTGGGCCACCATCACGAGATTCCTATCAACCTCGTAAACCAAATACTGGTAACCAGCAAACAGAAGATTGGACACAGCAAACAGGGGAACTTGATGATCTAACTCAACAAACATCTGGGAAACTTGAATTTGGGCCACCATCACGAGATTCCTATCAACCTCGTAAACCAAATACAGGTAACCAGCAAACAGGTGAATTTGATGATCTAACTCAACAAACATCTGGGAAACTTGAATTTGGGCCACCATCACGAGATTCCTATCAACCTCGTAAACCAAATACTGATAACCAGCAAACAGAAGATTGGACACAGCAAACAGGGGAACTTGATGACCTTACTCAACAAACATCTGGAAAGCTTGAGTTTGGATCTCAGTCACAAGATTCTTATCTACCTCGAAGACCAAATACTAATACTCAGCAAACAGAAGATTTGACACAGCAAACAGGTGAATTTGATGACCTTACTCAACAAACATCTGGGAAGCTTGAATTTGGACAGCAGTCAATGGAGCACAATCCATACTTTTCAAATTCTGATAGATCCAGAGAATCAGTAAATATGCAGAATCCAGAAGTTAATACTCAAAGAAATGAAAATTTTCCTATAGTGGGTGTAAATGGCAATATACCTGTAGAGCAGCAAGTGTCTAGTTTCCAACTTCCCAAACCAGCAGGGAAACCAAAACCAAGGTCAAGATATTCAAGAATTGGTGTATTAAGCAATATACAAAATACGTATAATTCTGATAATCAACAACCTTCCCATCCTGATGCTAACATTTATGAATTACCACCAAATGTTGTAACTGAGGCTGATGTAAATATGGTTAGGGATAAAAATATTAGAGGTGATCAAAATGCAAACAATTTCATGGACACAACTACTTCTAAACAGTTAAATCAACCAGCTGCTGATAAGACACACAGTATTGAAGAGGCATATGTGGATTCAGTTAACTCATTACATAAATCTAATGATGCAACTGTAGGTTTACAGTGGCATTACACATATCACCCTAGCGATCAAAGACAATTTATACAACAAACAGATCAAAGGGATAAGGGGCATTTACAGCAGCAATCAAGCAGTCCAGAGTTCCAACAGTCCGGTCATAGTTTTGATCAGCAAGAAACACAAAATATATATCAACAGTCATCTATTTTTGACAATGAAGAATCAGAAATATCTCAAAAATATCAAGACAAATCTGACAATATTAAAAAACAAAGTGAATTAGAATTTAGTCAACAAAGAGCAAGTGAAATTGATGATGAACAACATGTTCAAAACCGTGAAACTAAGCTTCAGTTAGAACCAAGAATTATAGAAGTTTACGGAGGTGGACCATATGATGCATCTCATAACGATGATATATATAGTGGAATAACAGTAAATCCCAGTGCTACACTACTACCAATTAATAATGCTGATCCATGGGATATTCACGAGAAACCAAGAGAAGTGATAGGAATAGTTAATGAAGTAACATCTACACCAATGTCTGTAAAACCTTTAAATGAAAATGATGAGACAACGCATGCACCATCTTTTTGGTCAAAACTTGGCAGTCAAATAACAACTACTTATGGTAAAGCTAAAGAAAAAGCTAGAACCATCTTTGGATAAACATAATTTGTAATATTATTAATTAATTTGTATTTGTAAGTGACTTTTTTCTTAATACTATAGGACTTCTCATTATATAGAGTTTATTTATCAGTGTCATATAATGTACTGTTATCATTTATTTTGTTAATTTAATGATTTCAAGAAGTTGATATAGTATTATGGAATGACATTATTCCAAATTTATTGTATATTTCGTTATTTAAATAAAATTATATTTTATAAGTATCATTATTTGTCCTTCCAAGAATGAAAATGAAAGACATTTCCGTACATGTAAATATAAATGAATTTATTTAGAACACAAAATAATAACATAATACATTTACTCACTTCTGGGAGGTTTTTAAAGTATCTAACGAAGCTCTGTTGACTTGAAACATCTGAAATATTATTTTTTTATACAGTTATTTACGAACAATAGTTACTATAATCGAAAATTAGAGGAACTGAATTATTTTACTAACCCATTTGAAATTGTTGATTCGGTTGTACAGCCATAGTTGTATATGAAGAGGAATAGTAAAATTTATAATTTAAACTTTAAATGCAATATGAAAATCGTAGAACAACAAAATCTCAAAAATTGCTGGAACAACGTGTTAACATTGCGCGTAACACGATACGTTCAATGTATTCCCGCTAAAATTAATTATACCATAGAATTAATAAATCATAGATGGGGCGCGAAGTTTCACTGGGAGTCATCAATTTGATTGGTGAACTGAAATAACCAATGACTGTATACCAGATTTTGTCATGAATTCAAGTCGTATTAATTTAAGGCGGTATTTATGAATTTTTTAATTCATTATTTTTACTACAAAATATCTCTACATAAGCCCATTTAGTTTCGTTTTTGCAATGAAATTTATACTGTAACGTATTGTTATATATAGATGTAATTGACATGTAAAAAATTTTAAATCGCCATAGAATCATTTTAATCAACGTCTAAAATGTTCGTTGATTCCACAAAATATAACCCTATATTACAATTTGTTCCAGTAGGGTTAAACGAGAAACAGTAGAACCGAAGTAGAGTCTAATTTTGCACTTGATAGAAAGAGTGCACATCATTTGTATGTCTCCGTCTATCTAGTGCAAAATTGGACTCTTGCAGCTTTACTGTCTCTTACTTAGTGCGATTCGTACTAGATTCGATTATGGGTAGCCATAACTAGTGAGAAATTAACGCCGCTCGCGATTGCGATTGGACTTATAACTTATAACCAAAAAATAATCCACTCCTACTTATTTTTCAATAGAATTACCTTGACGAATACTATAATACAATCAGTGATAAGTGGATACGCAACCTTTTATGTTATAAACAATGTTTTGTTGAATTAGATACAAAAAACTATTGACTTATAAATTAAAAGATTATATTTTTTTGAAACTATTAATTTTTTAATATTAGCTTACGATTGTTTTATTCCCTCTAATGAGTTCGATTAACCTCTAAAACACGCACATACATATAATATAATTACAATTTGTTTATAGTCGTGTAAAATATATCAGATTGTATAGTATTTGAAACATAATTGTTAAATTTTTAAGAATAGATTTTTTTGTACTAAGTGCAAATGAATTTTGTACATAGTTTAAGACAGACAACAAACTGTCTTCAGTCAATTGTTTCTTCTTCTCAAAGGGGTAATTTAAACTAATTTTTTATATTTATATTAATACGTGAATATTATAAATATCATTTTATTATACTTTTAAAAACAAATAACTTTAGACAAATTAATCTTTATTTTATTTAAGTCTATTCTTAGCAGAGCTTATAAAATTAAATAATTTTTATTTAAAACATTTAATTTTTAACTATATTGGCCCTAATTCTTCATTATGTAATTTTGCATCACCCAAGTTTGAATTGTAGATTATACAATAATTGTAGAGTAGGATTGCATTTTCTAATAAAATATGAAAATTTCTTTTGTTTTTCAATCAATTTTATATTTTCTATAACAGCTACTTCATCCATGTTAAATATGGTAAAAAATAATAACAAGCATATTGTGTGGATAGATATGGAAGTATGTTAATATTAACAATTTTGTTTCAAATACTTTTCATATTTCAATTACATTATTTAATATTAATGCTCTATTGTATATTTTAGATGACTGGACTTGATTTAGAAACATGTCATATTTTGGAAATAGCATGTTTAATTACAAATAAAGATTTAAAAATCATAAGCAAAGATTTGAATATAGTTATACATCAACCAAATGAGATATTAGAAAATATGAATGACTGGTGTGTACAAAATCATGAGAAAGTAAATATAATTTTAAAGTTTATATTATCATTTAAGATATTTGAAGTAGAGAGAATGGTTGATGTGTGGATAATGGTTATAATAATGTACAGAATTTGATGGATTCTTTTTATGTCTAGACAGGATTAATTACTGAATCACGTTTGAGTAAAACTACTGTACAAGATGCTGAACAAATCGTACTGAAATATTTACAGTCGTACATAGAAGAAGGAACTAGCCCACTTGCAGGAAGTTCAGTCTACATGGATCGTATATTTTTGTCAAAATATATGCCATCCGTTAATAACTATTTAAATTACAAAATCATAGACACTACAACTCTTAGAGAATTAATTTTGTAAGTATTATATATGTAAATGACCTTTACGAATTTACTGCAAAATTATATCACATTTTTTAAATTTTAGAATGTGGAATTTAAATGTACCGGAACTGAAAAAAATGCACTGCCACAGAGCATTGTCAGACATAAAGGAAAGTATAAAACAATTAGAACATTATAAAAAATATCTATTTAATTTATAAAGATTAAATTGAAGCGTCACAGTCAGATCTTGATTACCCTATCTCCCACATCAACACTCCTAAACAAAAAAGATAGCGCGCGTGTAATGCGTATTTTGAACTATATTGTAAAGGACAACATTTTGAACAACCTTTCCTTTTGGTAATATTTCTGATCGGTTTTAGTTCCTTTTGTATTATTACATTGAATTTCATCAAAGTTTAGACATCCCAGGGAATGAAAACTAATTATTTTACATATACTGAGACAATTTATTTGTAGTTCATATTAGGGTAAACTAACATTTAGAACCTCGTATTGATCGGTTGTTCACTTTCTTTCTTATTGTTGTTCAAAAATTGCACACTATCGTTTCGTCATAACGATCTGGCATCTTCGAGTACGCGCGACAAACTGACGCTCAGCCGGCTCAGCGAGTTCGTTTGTAAAGAAATAGTACGCTCTTTTCGAGAGCTAGGTGGCGTTCTATTGAAAATATTAAAGGCGCCATTTAGTGTCTGCCCATTTTTCTGGGATGACTAGAGCTCCATTACTATTCCCGTATCACTCGCAAAATTACTAACAGGTTACAGAATTGAACAATGGTTAACAATGGTTGGACTATGGTCATAGATGGTCAACAATGGGGTTGACATCAAGGTCAGCGATCCAGTGAAGATCAAGGAAATGCCAACAGGTAGGACCAATCAAATACATTCACTATTGTAGAAGTTATGATCGTTTGAAAATTGGGCCACTTTTATGGAGTTTCTTTCATTTTACGGGGTGAAGGAACAACTTTTCCAACATTCTTAGATTTTGTAAATATTCTTCTCCAAAATACGCGTCGTTTGCATTTTGAAACATTAAAATCCTCCAATCCGTTCAGGAGTTATGAGATTTTAAACATACGCATGTAATTTCGGGGAAATATTTCTGGCCACACATTATATTTTCGGTAAAGAAGTTTGTTCTCGAAAGTGCGTAGGATTTCGGAGGTATGTCTATTCACCAAAAATGATTGTAATTGACCACCGGAGCTGAACATAATTTTTTCAGAACGATTTGAAATTTTTTTCTTTTTGATGAAAAATTTAGGCAGCTATTCCCTGTCGATTATTCTTCACAATTTGACTAGAAGAATTTATTAAGAAATAACAAATTGTAATGGGAATAAAAGGGCGCGGTACACGTTATATTTGATTTTTATTGAAGGATGGATTTAATGTAACAATTGTGTTGCTAATATTAATCTCGGGTATAAATATACATCTATATACAAACATATGGCTTAGATTTTAAATAAAATTATAGTACAATGTACAATTCCTATTCTATGTGTTAGATGTAATAAAATACTGTTAATTATTATTCAAGGAATAGTTATGGTCTATAATAGATTAATTAATTTATCATAATTAAGGCCGTTTTAACGAAACGTTTGGCAGTTTCCTGGCTCGTAAATCATAGGTACAAAATGTGCCAACCCTATTACCCCGTTTTTTTAAATATTATGTACACGTTTATCGACGTTCTCGTAAAAGTTGGAATGTCACTCGATAAATACATAGGAAGAGAAGCTAATTCTACGTCTCGTACCGCGGTATTTGATATAATTCTGAAAAAGTACCCAGTATACCGGTCAGTATCACAGCTACTCTCTGCTCTTTCGGTTTTAACGAAATTCTTAATTTGATTTTGTTACACGCGGGCAATTATTCATCCCGTGTACTCATGTTATCGTAAATCAGAAGTGAAGATAGAGAGAACAGTTTACTGCGATTCAACGCTACGTGGCATGTTAAAAACAGCAACGTGGGAAACTTTTTTTTAGTTTCTTCAACGTACTGCAACCGGACGCAAAGTACTCTGCGTACGGTGAGAACTTGACATTCGTAACACTCATTGATACGATAAAATCAATGAGCAGAGGAAATCCTTTGGTCCAACACATTCTCCTCGACAAATCATTACTAATTCGTCGGGAGATCATAAAATTGTCATTTGCGATTCAGGAATCGAAATGACCTTTAAATAACGGCTGTAAATGTAGAGTCTAATTAAAAAGGGGATCTAATTATGTAAAATTCATTATCAATTCCTTGCAACGCCGCATATCATGATATTCGGCAATGCCCCTCGTCGTTTTCGCCATGCGCCAAGAGATTGCGCATGAGCTTGCAACGTCCTACACCATCTTTTTGTTCTGGCTCCGTCCTCAGCCTACAACAGAACAGATTTCCTATGTATGATAACACTTTGTCAACCGCAGTATCATTTCCTTCACTTCCTTCTAATATAATAACAGATTACGTATTCGATGATTACGATTTTCTTAAAAACCGAGTATATTTTTAGTCCAAATTGTCCTTTCATTGGATGATTGGATATATTGGCGAATACAGAATATTTTTGTTTCCTTCAGTACAATTATGCTTTTGAAGAGATATAAAAAATCACGATTTTTTCTTATTCATCCTGTTTTCAATTCCTCAATTATTTTAATAATCATTTTATAATTGAGATTTTTATAAGTTCCCAAAGAACTTTTATCGATCGAATATAAAGTAATTGTTAAAATAGAACTTTCACTTAATGTACAAACTTAACTTTTAACGTTGAAAGTTTGCCAAATAAGTATTATATTTAAAGGTACGCCGCGAGCAATTATTGTAGAGTAAGCATTTACCTTAAATATAAAAGTCTCCTTGGAATACAGTTCTTGAACTTCGAAATAATCTTCAAGATCTGTTTCACAGCATACTATACATTTATCAAGATACAATGGTTCCTAAAATAAATAACGCTTTGCATCACAGTGCACATGTGAGTTAAACTTGTGTATACACGGTGTATACTACGTTTAAAATTTTATTCAAACTTCGATTCACTTACGCGCAGCAAAGAGTACCGTCCGAACTTTTCTTTCACCAATAAGAGGGTAGCCTCTTTGATGCCTATGTACCTTGGGAAAAGAAAATCGTCGTTGAACTCGAGATCCTCCGCGCTTGGCTGTAACAGAGGAACACGATGGAACCGTGAACTGTAAATACAGAAAGTTCTCGTGCATATCTTAGAATACATAATTATATTCATTTACTTTGCCATTGGTAACCAACATGGCAGTAACAGGAGCGAGTTTTACAGTTCGTCCGCGTCTCCAATTGTTATCGGTCGGCTGAGCAACCAAAAGACGCCCTTCCAGAACAAATTTCGCCTCCTCGTGAGCCCATTCCAACACCTCCACGGCCATCTGTCGCGATAGACAAATCGTCAGATATTCCATTTCTATCCGCGTTTCCGGCAATTTATTAAATACTCTCGAATTACCTTTCTTAATTTTATGTTCACCATGTCTTGCTCCCCGATTGGCCGTCTGCCATTCTGAATGATGGAAATTCTTCTCCAAAGCTTCGTCGAAGTTACGTCCTTTGCTTCCTGTTGTAAAATTACTCGATTACATAATAAATAATGTACAGTCTCGTTTCTTTCCCGAAAGTGAAATTTTTATTATGTCTCTTTCTATTTGGATTATTTCGTTACTGGTTAACTTTTTGCGCGAATTATATATTTACAGCATTCATGTGCTCTAAGTGCAACTCGATGTTCGCTTGGGCCTGTTTCAGTCTTTCCTTGGTTTCTTGAATGTCTGGTCGTACGGACGGCGTGGCTTTCAGCAATCGTGCCAACAGAAGAGGATATTTTGTCACTCTTTGAACAGGAACCTTAAACCGAATTGTCCTAAGTTTATATCTCACCAGAACATAGATAAAAAACTCAATTATAAATCCACTTTTCCACGTTTCAAAACGAAAATCTGTTTTAAGGTTTGGCAGTAAAAAGTGTAGGCAGAATAATAATGATAATATTAGAATCGTTATTCACGGTTAAAAACACTTTGATAGAAAAATAATAATCGTTATCCACTTCTCTTTATTTCGATCGTAAGAGTTCGAGTTTCAGATCGAAAGCGACAATTATCAAGTTGACTTCGTTTGGATCTTACCATCAGAAAGGAATTCAAGTTCATCCTGCGCAAGACCGTGTTCTCCATTTGCGAGACTTTCAAAAAGATCCGCAGAAGCTCCTTTTCCTTTTCCAAGTTCTGCAATAGCAAACTCGCGCCTCCCTGGCGGGTGCAGTAGCTTTCAAACGCGTGAAGCATCCGTTCAGACTCCAGAAAAATCTTCCCCACGTCTACCGTTAAAAGATCCTCGTCACCGGATTCCTATTTTGCCATTTAACGATTATGAATTACAGCCTCGGCGTCGGTACGGTCTTTTAATAAATCATTAAGCGTTGTAACTTTACTAATCAATGCGATTATCAAATTCAAATTGTTTTCATCGGTTCTCGTTACGAGCAGATCAGGGTAGTCTTTCTTTTCTTAAAAGAACTTAGAATATTAACGTATATTCGAAGCAGTGAAATTCTTTTGGTGTTCAGAAGTTACGTGTTTCTGTACCTGAGCAAATTCCACAGCATCCTTCAATTTCTCAGCCAGCACGAGATTGTGTTCGAGAAGCTCTTCCACGTTTAGAAATATCGCTGTAAGCTGTTCAGAAGTGAGCAGACCAGCCCTGAACATAGGTCTATGGAACTCTTCCAGGATAATTTGCAAATCCCTCCCATACTTCTGTTCGGTCTCCACGATTTCCGTGATGATTTCCTTCCGCTCCACCCTCTTTTTCGAACACTTTCTGCATACGAAAGGCGCGTATACTACACCGCTAAAAAAAAAACGATTATTCAACGTATACAAAATTAATTAAATTCCAAAAGAAAATTCGTGGAACGTCTCTATATCCTTTTGCTAGATCATTCATTTACAGTCGTTCTTTTGTTTTCGCAACCTGGTTTCTGTTTTCTCGTTGTTAAAAATCCACCAAAAATGGCTACTGATAAGATACAACAGGGATCGTATGCTTAAGGGCAAGTTTCAAATAAATTTAAACGTTATATACGTCTGTAGAAAAATGTTGCATCGAAGTATTTCTCTTCGTATCCTAAAAAATAAGGATCAATGGGTGAAACTTTGATCTAATACGAACAATTTCAATCAGTCTCTACCGAGAGGTATGTGCAGTTGAGCGAAGACAGTATCAACACGAATAAAGGAAGAAACTTATTGTACTCGGAAATATTTATAATTTAGTAGGGGGAAGTTCTGTCACGAGTATCGAAATAGTTTTCGTCGCAACACACAACTTTTGCACTGCTTTCAAATTCACGCTGCCCGTTATGCGCAATGCATTCGAAAGAGTTGCAGTCGTTTTGGCACGTAGATTCGTTCGACGTTGATGTATATTCGGTAACAAAACTTTCGCTTCTTGCGGTAAACAGAATCAATAGTAGGAGAAAGTGCGATTCAATGATTCTGAGGACTCGTTACTTAGACTCGTTTGTTTTTGTCTGGTAGTACCGTACTTGCGCACGCTCGATAAAAATTCCAACAGAACTTACATTTCTTAAACATGAACATCCACGCTTATCTATTACAAGCTGTCAAATGTAGATTAATTGCCTATTAAATTTATAACTTCCTAGCTACGCGTTGATCTATTCTCGTTGCAAATAAGGCCGCGAAAGCGAAACCTGATTAATTTGCAAATTATTCGCGAAACGAAATCGTTTTAAATACATTTTCAAAACTTGTATAGTTTATCGAGAATTTAGTCGTTTTAAATATTTGCGTGCTACTGTAAATAGTACTTTGTAAAAATTGATCAGAGTCTGAGCCGGAATTTTCCCGTTTGCTTCGTAGTATTTTTTTTTTTTATGAGATCTGGTTTTCCATCGAATGTTTACGTATCAACGTGACCGCTCACCTGTCCGTTATCAAAGGATCCAAACGTTGCTCACAGTCCTCGCAGAGCTTTGAATCACCGGAAATCACTTGTGGGATTCCACTGAACAGACTTCCTGGTCCCGAGGAGACATTTCCTGCTCTCCAACGTCTCGGCACGCCTCGAGTGCTGCTAGCTTGACTGCTTTCCGATCCCACTCCGCTATCAGTTCTTTCTATATCTACGACCCTTGCCTGTACGAACCAGCATTATTATGATTTGCATCGAGGCTTTTCGAATCCTTATCTTATTCATCGATTCGCGCGTCAAACGCAACGCTATTCCAACTATCACGCTAAATTCCCACGATTGGAGAAACTACAAAGGCAAAATGCACGGTACCACAAAGACTTCACTGTTGTTACTGTTTCGATGATAGTTTTCCCGCCAAAAATTGTCCAAATTCAAACGTCTCCACGGAGTTTAATCAATTTCTTTTCTCACCAGCATTATTACGATTATTATGATTCGCATCGTGGCTTTTCGAATCCTTATCTTATCTACTTCGATTTAATAATTTGGCAACTTCACGGTAAGATTTATTTTCATTACGCAACTTCGATGTTAATTCACTTTCATATTTACTGGTTCCTGACTTTTTCGTGCTCGTGATTAGAATAATTATAAAAGATTATACTTTACGAAATCTGTATGAACCATGCAATGTCTCGGAATCGAAACTAAAGTGTAATGTTTACATTCCATTCGTTAGAAATATGCTTCTTGATAAATTCTGTATGTAGATTGGAATCGTTCGAATACTTTCGTGAGCCACAGTACTTAAATCGAAACTCACCTTGGACGTCTCCAACGAGCTGGTCAAAATAATATTGCACTCCTCGCTGCTGTCGGATACGTTAGAAATTTGCGAGCTCTTCGAGCTTAGATCGCCCAGACTCGTCTCCTTCTGTTCGTACAGCGCTTCCAGGTCCCCCTCCGTGTCCTCTTCGTCCTCGTCGTCCTCGTCGTCCTCCCCCTCGATCGAGATCGCTCGATCCTTCGAGTCCATCAAAAAATTCAGCAGCTCGAACTTGCTCGAGATGTTCTCCTCCTCCGGGGACGTGGACATTTTTTTAAAAAAATCCTCGGGGCTCTTGGACAGGTACGTCTCCGCGAGATCCTCGGGATTCTTCTTGAAAACATTGTTCGTCAAATAGGACCCGAGAAACTGATCGGTGCCGGTCTTCCTGTAGTAATCGATCCCGCCGAAATAAATCCTGTCTTTTATGTAATCCTCCGTCGGGGGCGGGCTCAAGGGAAGCGGGGGCGGCTCGTCGGGGATCTCCTCGTAGATGGGTTCCTTGATCACTTCGTATGGATTCTCCTCGAGGAACAGGTTCGTCGAAATGAAGTCCCCGTCCGAGTTCAGGCTGGACGTTCTCGAGTAATTCGCCTCGAGCGTCGACTCGGAGCTCTCGTACTCCTTGCTCTTCAGCAAGCTCTGCTTCAAGATTTTCAAAATGGCCTCGCCGCTGCTCTCGTCGAGGATCTCCCCGTTTTCGCGCGCCTTTCTCAGAGAGTCCTCCAGCAGCTTCGAGATCAACGCCTCCTTGGACAGTTCCGACAGCTTCGACGAGCATTCACCGTCCTTCTGTCGAGTCTTCTTCTCCGTGTCGGAAGTTGCGCCCTCGAGACTCGTCTTCTCGGAGCTGGGCGCCGTTTCCGGCGACGCTTCATCGATCTTGGGCGAATCATCCTCCTCGGGCTTCCGCGCGGCGTTGTTCCTCGACGTCGACTCGTCCTCCTTCACGGTCTCCACGACGATGTTCGACTTGTAGTTGTCCAGGATCACCAGAGTCCGATTCTCCGCGGAGCTTTTGATTCGCGGAAGGTTCTCCGAGTTTACGGAGATCACCGTGGGGTTGTACACGCTGTCCTCCCCGCCCACGCTGATGGTCACTTTGTTGTCCGAGGTAGTCTCGGCGCTGGGCGTCGTGTCGCCGTTTATTAAAATAGACGTTCTTCTCGCCCCCTTGGTGCCCGGGCCTATTTGGAGCCGATGTACCAAAGGCGAGGCTCGGGGACTCACCGTAATTTTATATACGTTCGTTTCCGTCGTTGGAGATCCAATCTCCACTTTCGAGGACCCGTAGGAGTTGGATTTCTTCCAGGTCTTCAAAGGGGGACTGTTTCGATCCGATTCGGAATGGTCCGCGTTAGGTTTCGATTCAGGATTGACGATTTTGTAACGGTGTTTCTGTTTCCCGGGAGGCGGGGACCAACTCGTGGGTCTCATTCCTCGAAAGTGATCGTTGCTCTCGAAATTACAGTGAGCGTCTTTCGAGGCTGCCGATCTCTCGATCGTCGGCATTTCCTCGATCGTTTCTTCGATTTCCTTCGCGCCCGATAACACGTGCTCGTCGATCGTTTTCTCGGAGTATAGGCTTTCCGTCGTTTCTGGTTCGGAATTGTTGCGTCGAATCGTTTGATCGCTCAAAGATAGGAGGGACGGTGATTCTTTCACCTTCCGGCAGAGGCTGAGGCGCATAGTGTCCGTGAAAAGCACGTTTCCGGCTGACACTTCCGGTCTGTTGAACGACCGTTCGCTTTGACTGCGCGATAAGCATGATTTCTTCGAGCTTTCTGCAAATTGAGGGGAAACATTTCGTTGCGTTGGTGTTTAGACAGAGTGTCCCACGCTATCGAGAAGAGTTATACAAGTTTTGTAGGGTCGGTTGCCCTAATATGGAACATCGTAATATTAAAGAATCGTGATTTTCCCATCTATCGGCGATGAATACAATCGATTACAATTGTCATTTGTTACAACTAGTTGAATATTCAAGAAAATATCGCAGTCTGAGTTTTCGCAAGGTTATCCTTGACCTAATATTATACATAAAAAAGTAACTGCATCAGCTTTGTGTTAACTCCATTATTTCATCAAATATAAATATAAATATATTTAACATAATTATATATATTTGTATTAATATATGTAAATATAGTATTCCATATTACGAGCACTATGAGCCTAATATAAAAAATAAGTACCTCAGTAAAAAAAGAAAACATTTCCTAAACCGTTATTATATTTTAAATTTAACTGTCAAAAGAGCATAAAATTTCCTATAAATTCATAATATTCAACTTTTTATAAAAGTTCTGCAAGCAAGTGAAACATGAGTATAAAAAAAGAGTATTCCATATTAGGGCAACTGACACTACTATTAATTTACCCTCCTGTTAGTCAAATTCACTATTTTGCAAATTAATAAAAATCAAGCAATTAATTTATGTTTGGTTATTCACTAATAATAAATAAATTTTTCCTATTCTCAACTTTTCACAATTAAAATTGCAAGAAACACTGTCGTTCGTGTACGCGTGTTAATAAACAGATCAATAATATAAAAAAATAATTCTCACCTTCAGATTTCAAAATCAAGTCTTTCTCGTCGACGGCGATGCACGGAACACGATCCACGCGATCCTCGATTTGTTGTTTCTGTACGGTGTCGTTTCCCATTTTCCCGGAATTTCCCTCCTCTATCCTCTTCTTTTCCTCCCCTTTCTTCGTGTTCTCTCGTTTCGGTCGAACGATTTCCGGGGTTTCTTCGGTTTCCCGCAACGTTTCGCCATTTTCTTTTCTCGGTGCCGCGCGATCCGCATCGCCGGAAGTAAGGAGCCTCTCCGCTTTCATTCCGTCCGAAACAACAGAATTCTGGCAGTCGTCTTGCGAGATTCTAGGCTCCTTCAATCTGATTCTGTCAATTTTTGGGTCCCTGATATTCGGAATGGTGATAAAATTATATTTCTCCTTCTGTTCGTGCGACGCTACTGCAACCTCCTCTTCCTCCTCCTCCTCTTCCTCTTCCTCCGACTCCTCGTTGGTCCTTTCTTCCCTCCCAGTGGCGCAGTTCTTCACGATCCTCCCGATTCTGCTCCATGACAACCTTGTGGCCTCCGACGGCTTCTCCGGCGCGAAAATAACGTTGTCGACATTGAACAGAACGTTCTTCCGCTTCCTCTCGAGCACCTTGCCCCGTTTCAGGATGCTCTTCAGCGTCTGTTTGGCTTCTTTCAGTCTCCTGGGTGGTCGCTTCGGCGAAACCTTTGGTATAGGAATTCTGGTCACCGGGGGAACGTCGTCCTCGTCAGAGATCTCACGTGGCTCGTTGAAAACCCTGATCCTCTGACCGCCGATAGCCGCCACGGCGCTTCTGTTCGGTATCCTCTCGATCGACTTCACTTTCGACGAATCGAACGACCCGGACGGGGGCCTGGAGTTGTCCTGCTCCAGGGCGTTGTCCGACAGGTCGTCGCTGAGGTCGTCCTCGTCCCTCTGTTTCTTTAACAGAAGGTAGGGATTCACGTCGCACTCCAGGATGCTCTTCCTCGAGTCGCAGGCGCTCGAGGGTCGATCTTTCCACTCGTCCTGGCTGTTGATCTTCGCCTGGCCCGTTTCCGGCGTTTCCGGCCAGTCGTTTCTCAGACCCCTGGCCTTTTTCGATACCCGGACCAGCCTACCCGCGGCCAACGACGCCGGAATTCGAGGATTCGTCGACGTAGGAGGCTCTTCCAGCCACTCGTCGCTCGGCCGCGACTTTCGAGGCTCCTCGAAGCTTCCGTTCGAGTCCTTGTCGAACCATTCGGATCGCGAGGAAGTGCTTTCGATCGATCCCTTTCGTTCTTTCGCGTTTCGGGCCACGCTCTGGCTTCGGGAATCGCGTTGCGACAATGGTCGGTGAGGAGAAATACTGCGGGCTCTCGTTCTCGGTTCTACCAGACGGTTCCGGCGCATTTGGTCGTAAGGATCGTCCATTGAGGACCTTAGCACCCCTGGAAAGTTTTTCTCGAGTCAAACGTGACGTAAGAGTGTCAGCGAACACTGTCGATCGACGGCTACATCTTCGCTCTCGATGATTTTTAAACATGTTATAAGTTTCGGAAATAGACAGGCTCACGGTAATATTCGAACGATGACATGTTCTTAATTAAAATTTACACAAACCGTGCAGTGTAGTAAATATTTTGAAATTGAAATAGATAGAACTGTGGTAACGGTAAAAGGAGGGTAAGCTTCATCCTAAACGTTTGATTAGTTCAATTAATGTTGCTATTAACTAATGCTAAATGTACAGTTCGAATACTTTTGTGACTTACAATATGCTATTAAATCTAATAAGTCTTTCTAATTCGAATATGTGTTACTTAATTTAAATGCAATTTTTATATGTTATTATATATTCTCCATACGCGATATATACGACGATTTCAAAATATTTAGTATACCGTACAGTTTGGGTCAATTTCAATTAGGAATGTGTCATCGTTCGAATACTTTCGTGAATTTGAAATACAATACGGGGAAAAAGAATAATGTTAATATTTACTGATTCCCCAATCCGAGTATTTCCAAATTTCAATATCAACACGTTCACTGTCCGGTCTCCCAGCGGTGTATCTAACAGCATGGTGCTGTGAACCATATACGGATCACAGACAGTGAACGTGTTAACGGTAAGTTTGGATGTTTTTTATTTTGTATATCGTACTATACGCCCTTAAAATTAGACCATCTAGTCTTTAACACTAGAAAGACTGAAACTTAGTATATACCTATATTGCCCAAAAGCAGTCAAAATGACTGCATTGTGAATGAATAACTAATGTGTAAAGAAATTTGTTTAAAATTAATTTTTAATATTAGGTTTTAATATTATGAATTTAACAACTTGTTAGAACAAGTATCACTGCATAAAGATTCGAATAACAAGTACTACTTTAGCTTATTGAGAAACTGCAATTTATTAAGTATACGCCAAAATCGACAATTTATCATGTACTTGTATGTTATCATGTGTTGGTAATCGAAAAAAAAGTCATATAAGAAATTTACTCAATTTAATAATAAGAGTCATTTGATTATTTAAAATTTCCCAAGCAGTCAAAATGACTGCTTTTGGGCACTATAGGTATAACACATATATATATATATACCGGAAATGAAGGAAGGGGGAGGTAACTACAATTATTAATAAACGCATTTATATGTTGTACAAAAAGTCACAAAATTCTAAGAAATTGTGTCATTATATACATAATTGTTTTTCTAATTGAAATTAAAAAGCAGTCAAAATGACTTCCTTGGGCAATCTAGTGTTAAATATTGCGTTGACTAAAGTCTCTATGAAAAATGGTAATTTACTTAAGTGTTCTCTGCAGAAAATATGCAAGTTTATAGGATGAAAATTGGTAGATTGCGTTTAGTAGGAGCTTACCGGCGAGACTGGGTCTGGACCTGGAGGAAATGGGGGGAAGACGACACGTTCCCCCCAAAGGTACGCCGGCCAATCGGTGGCCACCGCATTTGCGACAATTTCCGAATTTCCTGGTGGTTCCGCTGAGAAATTCCGGGCAGGAACACACCACTAGTATTGGAGCACCCGGTGGCGGCGGGGGTGGAGGTGTCATGAAGCCCCGAGGCTCGTGAGCGGGCCTCGATGATCGAACCGTGCCATAGAGCCATGGATCGCCGTAGATCATTTGCCGCGAGAGTCCGGTGCCGCCGCTTATCGTTCCCCACCCTTTTCCGGGATCATCGCCGCTTTGATTCTGCCGCGAGAGACCCAATCGCACGCTCCACGATTTCTTTCCCTTGCTCAGCGTGTCGTAATTCTAAAACAAAATGGCGTCCATGGTTAGTCAACAGAGGAATTGGAACGGGTCTCCGAAAATGTTCAAAGAAGCTTGGAAAAATGTATGAAAATTTTGATAATCCAAAATATATCCGAAAATCTCTAGAATTTCGGGGAATACAGTATATTGTACCATTAACACGTTGACTGCCATGGTGGTCACTGGTGACCGGCGCTTACAATAAATGAACCTTGATAATGAATTTGATAATGAACCTACATAATAACAAGTACTCTATCGAATTATTGAATATTTCTATTAATTATGCTATAATTTGTGTATAATATGCTATAACAGTGAACGTGTTAATTACTCGAAAACGGATGATTTCTACCAAAACATGCACTCCAGGATTAAAATACTACAAGATGACGTTTTAAAAAGTATACTTGTTTCTGTTTTAATTGATATGGTTCTATTGAAAGTGCAAACTTATTATACATTTGTTTTGTGAACACGAATCCCTTGGAACGTGGCCCTCCTTATTTAGATATGAAATTAATATTCGGTTCGGGTCCATGTTACGAATAATTACTGCTGTTATTATTGTTATTCGAGAGGACGTACTGTGTACGCGAAGCTTTCGATTTCGACAGGATATCCTTAGTTGGCAAACAGAATTCTTAATAAGGTGCTATCACCGTTTTATGCACGATAAATACTTTTACTATATCTGTGTAAAGAATCTAAAAATACACCATGTCGGTTTCAGGATTTTCAAAAATTGATGCCAACGATATTAAACGTATGAAATATATTAGGGTATTATAGATTATTGTGAAATTGGAATTGATCTCACGACTACCAGGCGTGGAACATTAAGAATGACAAAATACGCGATCGAACGAAATTTACAATAGAATTTAAAAATCCTTTATTTGTTCTTAAAGCCCAGTGAAAGACACGAAGGCAGAAATGAGGAGAGAAAAAAGGAAACCGAGGAACAACAGGTTCCAGCGAAAGTAAATGGCGGTAGGAATCGTTCGAGATCACATTTTAAATTTGTTTTCCCCTGGTGAAACTACCGCGAGGGAGGAGGAGGTGGGAGGGGGAGGGTGGGGGGGGCAGCTCGTTTTAACCCGTGAGTTTCGAAAGGGAAGAGAAACCACGAAGAGACAAGGATGCCCAAACGAACAAACACTTTTTCTCAACCGAAAAAGAAGAATGTCGACCCGAAGAATGTCCTATTTATAGAAATCTGTGAAGAATCTAAGAAAGAAGAAAGAAAGACGCTTGACCTCAAGTTTGTCTGATCCTGGCTAACAAAGGGACCACACCACGCCCGCTAATTTTATCGTAAATAATATTTCAATGAAAATGCCCGAGCACGGCAATTTCGAGTAACGTATTAAAGTTGTGATTTACACAACAGCGAGGCACCTGCAAGTATAATTGCCATGAGAGTTACTTGGAAAGCGAAAGCTTAATTGAAATGAGGAAACTCGCAAAGCAATGGTCTCGAGACCATTGTTTCGAGAAAAGAAAAATTATCGAGACAAGATTTCTGCTGGTGCGTGCTCGAAGGTTAGATGCGATCTATAGTCTTCGAAAGTAATACGGGAAATTATGTGCACGCCCTTCTGTCTTCGAGAATTATGGAAAATTAACCGATCCAAAACTTTATTTATATTCCTGAACGCACGTATCGGGCATTAAATAGTTAAGAAATCAAAACCCGGACAGTTAATAAGGGAAACTTGCGAGCAGAAGTGGGAATATCGTCGACGATTATTTAAAAATAATTGTCGTGTACGCAAGAGACGCAATTATATTTCCTAACAAGTGGAAAAATACAGAACCACGAGTCGATTTATGCACGTAATTTTCTTTTCTTGGATATAAGACCCGAGTGACATCCTCGAGGCTCTTAATAGCCGCAGCTGTATGTAATTTGTCTTGGGTTGCCGATGCAGGCACTTACACCTGCCGTTCAAACATGTATAGTGAACCGTTGTAAAACATTTTACCTCGATACCGGAGGAAACCGTTTTCGTCGAAACATTGATAAATTCTACCAAGATGGATCGTCTAAGCGAAAATGAAATTAATCATTCACTTATCCCGTCGTATTTGTCGTAACGCGTTGACGACTAATTTATTTAACACGACTAAATAATATTAAACGTCATAGATACTCACAGTAGCGTACACAAAGGTATGGGGGCCTCACCGTTTATCGAACGTATTAACTACCTTTAAAACTTTACCGTTTGTAATTTCCGACCGGTGGGGATCCACGAAGTCTCGAGTTCACTTTTGCAAATTTTTACTGTCTTTTGTAACTATTGGAGATCCGTCGCTGGGCTCGTGAAAACTTCGGAGAAAGGAACTGAAAATCCAGCTGTACGGTAATTACATTTTTATGAAACGAAAGAGGCGGTCGGCTGAAACAAATTTCATGCTTCTTACTTTCATGAAATTAATCGGTCAAGTTAGCGAAAACCATTTCACATTTTCTCCTCGCCGAGATCACAGACGATCGTTTCGCGTTCCTATGCATTTCGTGGTTTTCCTTTTTACAGAATCGCGGTGGACCGTTAAATTGCTTCCTCTGTCGCGACCGTAGGGGTGTCGATTCACAGATTGATCGTGGAAACGTTAAACCGTTTAAATCGCCTAAAGAGATTCCCAACGACGACCGAACACAAAAATTTCGATTCGAATAACAAAACATTAAAATTGTTTCCCAGCTAGTTGGCTGTTTCGTGGCTCGGTTATTTGCATTTTAGAGGCGGATACGGTTGAACGGGTAGCGATATGACATCCTACGGCGCACGAGGTCGGAAAATGGAGCAGATAGATGGCCCGAGGGCAAACTCGATATGCTTTACTTTCTCGTCGATGCTGAACTTTCGTAAAAGTCTCGTTCCAGAACCTCACGTAAGAGGAGCGGCCTATACGCTCGGCCGGTCGGTCGAAAAACAGCAAGAAAACTAACGTATGGGCACTCTATGTGTGTGTGTATAGACGGGTGTTGAAGCGGTCGTAGGAAATGCACAGATATCGCAGGTGCAACGAGAGAACGGGCGTGGCCGACAAAATTTCAGACGAGTTACAGGTTTGAGTCCAGTGACATTTCGATTGATTTTTCATAGTCGGTGAAATCTGTTCCTGGCTAACGGATACACCTAATCGACGCGGATCGACCTGGTTGCTTCGCTTCTGTTGTTATCCGCGTGCCTCGTCGCCTTCGCGTATCGTACAAGAACTGCAGAATATTTGCGTCACCGTTTACTTTGGGACGAACAGAAAATTGCACGATACTTATAGATCCAAAAAAGTACAAAAACGATTACCAGCGCAACTTTTCGTTTAGCGTTTCGAAATTAGGTTACAATTAGAAACACAATTGCGTTCGAGAAATTGGGTAAACAATTTCGCAGTCTTGCTATACTAGAATTTAAATTAAATCGCATATCCATTTTCTGAACATTGTACATCTCTTTAACGACTGGGATATAAAAAGCGAACGATTGAATTCTTTCGCTAGGCGGGTGATTCAAAAAATTTTATTAACAGATCGTAAATTAATAGTACGTTGTCTCGTGCACCTCATAAATTATTTATAGAAATTTTTACGGCATAATTTTGAAAGTAATATGAGCGAAAGGTGCAACATTTTAAGCGCGGAAGAGCTAGTAAATAACTAGCACTTTTTATACTAGTCGGAGAACAGTGAAATTCTATAAATAGTCTCTAAATTAATAGTACGTTGATTCGAATTCTCTACGAATTATTTTCACTGACAAAGTGGACCTTTGTAAATAAGGGGACGTATTAAAAATCGCGAAACGAAGAGTAATTTATCCGGTCGTCGCAACTCGTATTTGCCGTTTCCTCGACGATCCAGCCTTTGCAATTTCCGCGGTAACCCTCGAATGAAAACTATTACCGCAGCTATGACTAAGATTATGCTTAATGCTTTTTACACAATTAGTGAGTCAATGTTGATATTAGCGGAATAGGATCTACCCACAGACGGATAATCTTAATTGCAGAGTGAAGCCTGATGTCTTTAAACCAGCCGAAGGTTTACGACCTCTGCAACCAACGCGATTCATAGCAAGTGCATTACATTTAAAATTTAAATTATCAAACGCAAACGAAGATTGGTTAGAAACACATCGTATTGTTTTCGACGTTTCTTTAAATTGTAACCTGTTACCTTACATCTAATTAAATTAGAGTCATTTACAAAAAATTCAACGTGCTATCCATAAAACGTAATCAAAGTTGTTGTTTAAGTGACATTTCATTTAAAAATAAAACAGTGAGCACCAGATTGTCCTTCGTGGTTTTTATTTTGTTTAAATCTAAAATTTTAGCAAGAAGAACTGCAATTATTATAATTATTACTGTTCTAGTATTATGGAGGTCCTAGATCGGTTGTTGAGAAAATTGTGACGAAACCAACGCGTAAAATGGCGTCTATCGAGTGACATTTCATTTAAAAACAAAACAGTGAGCACCAGATTATCCTTCGTGGTTTTTATTTTATTTAAATCTAAAATTTTAACAAGAAGAACTGCAATTATTATAATTGTTACTGTTCTAGTATTATGGAGGTCCTAGGTCGGTTGTTGAGAAAATTGTGACGAAACCAACGCGTAAAATGGCGTCTATCGAGTGACATTTCATTTAAAAACAAAACAGTGAGCACCAGATTATCCTTCGTGGTTTTTATTTTGTTTAAATCTACAATTTTAACAAGAAGAACTGCAATTATTATAATTATTACTGTTCTAGTATTATGGAGGTCCTAGATCGGTAGTTGAGAAAATTGTGACGAAACCAACGCGTAAAATGGCGTCTATCGAGTGACATTTCATTTAAAAACAAAACAGTGAGCACCAGATTATCCTTCGTGGTTTTTATTTTATTTAAATCTAAAATTTTAACAAGAAGAACTGCAATTATTATAATTGTTACTGTTCTAGTATTATGGAGGTCCTAGGTCGGTTGTTGAGAAAATTGTGACG